AAAACTTCGAGTCCTACAAACGAAGGGCATTTTATTAAACCATAAACCATAGATAGACCGTAAACCATAGATTAAACCTGTTCCGTGATAATCAACGTGAAACGTAGAGATTTAAGATCGAAAGGTGTAGTCAAAAGAAGTGGTATGTGGAAGGAAGCCGTAACCAACCATCGGTTGCGTGAACCCCCCTACGGCGTCGAGTCGTCCCGCTCGCACATAATTATTCCCTTACGGAATTCGAATCTGCGAACGCAGGGTAATAATAATCAGAGGTGCGATGGCATGCGTATTCCCAACGCTCGGCACGTACGCCGTTGATCCGATTTACCGCTTCAGTGCATATCTGTCTGGGACGTTTTTTACGCGTTTGGTGCACAATAAACACCTTCTACTTTGTTTTGTTTTTTGTATAAAATTAAGTCAGGGCAAAGTTAAGACGAAATATGAGGACTAGTGCGAGAATCACTACTACGGAGTACAGGAAGTGCTATGAAAGCAATTTTAGTATGATCTAATTATTTCTAATACATTTAATAAGACCGTAATAGGGAGATATAATTATCCAGTATTATTTATGACCAAGGCACTGGGTCAGTCAGTTGTCTGCACAACTGATTTTTTCGGACTACATATTTCGCACAACGTAGTGCCCAGTTTTTATTAATAGCTTCACTTGATAATGTAATGCAATCACTGGAAACAGCGACTCAACCATTGACAATCAGTGTATGGCACAACATATGTTTTGTTATCACTATTAGCCTAGAAGGCATGCTGTACTTGCTATCAAAATGAGAGAAATGCATTCGATCATAAATGAATTGAATTTTGTCAGCTAACCCCACCGGAGAAATTTACAATACGCGACAAAAATAAAACATAAAACGGCGTTATATTCTATATATATTATTTAATTTATGTGATTATTTTAGAGTAATAATAAATGATATTTTTCTTCAGTTCATCACATTTTTCTGGTAAATTTGGCCGTAGTCAGTTCTAAATATGTCTTTCGGTGTTTATTTTTCTTAAAAAAATTACGTTATTCGAGAAATTTGTGGTTGGGTTGTCGAGTAACGACACGCGTTCCAATAATATATTCAGAACGGCAGACATGTAATGTTTCATCATCCAACTGACGCACAGAATGTTTTGTTAGATTCAAAAGACATATGGACGGAGTACGTTCAAATAGACGATTTAGCAATTTGTTATTGTTTTTAACCTATCTAATATACAATGAAAAGAGAAGGGCAGAAAAGAGTTTTATTGTTGGAGACGCCGTAAACAATCTTTAAAAGTTCAATTGATTAAATGTGATTCTAACGTTATATTAATGTAGCAAGCATGGCAGATATAGAGAATAAACTTTAAATATATAAGCTTTAACACAGACAATATTCACACTGCAAGAATCAATCGCTAACATGAAAAGCAAGCTGATAACATATATACGATAAAAGAAATATATTTGTAGCAAGCTTTCGGACATGTCAAACTTTGCTCAGTTTCCGAAACGGTTCAATTTCACTTTCCCATTTCGTGTCAGATATTACAGTTTACAAACAGGGAGGTAGAATGTTCACGACGAAAACCTCACTGATTATATATCGTATAAGAGACTATGAGATTAAGGTGACCGTACATTTGAACCCATGTACATTTGAACCCATGCGTATATCCACGGGTTCAATCTATATGCGGGTGCTAAAACCCATGGGTTAGGGTTAGTATGGGTTTAACTATCCGTGTAACAAAAAAAATTCCATAAGTGCAATAGCATACAGGTGCAACTGTCATGGGTTCAAATGTACGTGGGTTCAAATGTAATGGAACCTGAGATTAAATATACAACTGATCAATAGCATGGAGAATAGTTCAAATGGTTAGCATAATAAGCTAGTTTAGCAAGAAGTTGCAACAAAACACAGTGTCTTATAATATATAAAGTCCAATACTAAAATTATTGGCCTACTATGTCTTTATTAATTAAGCATTAATGACTCAATTATACCTGTTTCATAGGTTTTACTTCATTATAATTAGTATTATGTTAAATATGAAACATGTGGCTTTCCTACTATTGTCTTAAAATCAAATAATAATGATATTGGCGATTCATATATGTTCGCCAAAGCGTTACTGACGCAATTATACCCGCTCCATTAGTTTTGCGTTATTAAAACTTGTACTATGTTAAATAAGAAACGTTTAACGTTATTTTTATGGTAAAATGTTTCTCTTTGAACAAATGTATTTGAACGGTTGAAAGGGTCGATCATAACCTACTTGTATTAATATTCTGTCGAAGCGTTATTATGGAGACAAACTGTTCAATATGGTTCCATTACATTTGAACCCACGTACATTTGAACCCATGACAATTGCACCTGTATGCTATTGCACCTATGGAATTTTTTTTGTTTCACGGATAGGTAAACCCATACTAACCCTAACCCATGGGTTTTAGCACCCGCATATAGATTGAACCCGTGGATATACGCATGGGTTCAAATGTACATGGGTTCAAATGTACGGTCACCGTTCAATATTAATGTCTTGCATTTGCCTGTAACGTGATCAATGCAAAACCAGTTAATGAGAAAGCGAGTATACATTTTTATTTTTAATTGGTATTCCAGGACTGTAACTAAGGACGTTTTTTGCGAGTGTAGGAAAAATGTTGGGCGCTCCGGAAGTATTCGTACCAAGATGACGCACAACCTGAACAACCCTAACCTGATACACATACTATGTTCAGGCAGACATGTAATATTTCGTCATCCAATTGACGCACGCAATGTTTTACTAGATTCATTAGACATATGGAAGGAGTACGGTAAAATAGACGATTTCGCAATTTGTTATTGTTTTTAATTTATCTAACATAGTACAAGGAAGAGAGAAATGTAGAAAAGAGTTGTAATGTTAGAGACTCCGTGAACAATCTTCAGAAGTTTCATAGGTTTTACGTTATTAAAACTAGTGTTATGTTAGATCTGAAACATGTGGCTTAATAATATTGTCTTATAAAGATAAAATCAAACTATAATAATATATAATATTGGCGCTTCATATTTGTTCGCCAAAGCGAATGACGCAATTATACCTGTTCCATTCGTATTGCGTTATTTAAACTTGTGCTATGTTAAATAAGAAACGTTTAACGTTATTTTCAGAATAATTTTTTCTCTTTGAACAAATGTATTTGGACGGTTGAAAGGGTTGATCATAACCCACTCGTATTAATATTCTGTGATTATGGAGACAACCTGTTCAATATTAATGTCTTGCATAGGTTCATTTGCCTGTAACGTGATCAATGCAAAACCAGTTTATGAGAGAGCGAGTTTACATTTTTATTTTTAATTGTAATTTCCAGGACTGTAATTAATGACGTTTTTTGCGAGTGTAGGAAAAATGTTGGGCGCTCCGAAAGTATTCGTACCAAGATGACGCACAACCTGAACAACCCTAACCTGGTACACATACTATGTTCAGGTTGTGCGCCATCTTGGTACGAATACTTCAGGAGCACCAAATATTGAATCCATATTTTAAAATTCTACAACTATGCTTCTGATGATAATTTGTACTTTACAACCTATTGGTCAATTCAATGTTAGTCCTAAAAACCGAAGGTGCATTACATGTTATTAAAGATACTTAATAATCGTGAATGCATGTTTTTATTACTATTTTTGTATTTCGTAGTTAAAATGTATTTTAGAACACAGTACATATAGCGCTTAAATTGTCCTTGGTTCTTTGTCTTAGTTGAATTTTCAAATTACACATTTTTTAAAAGTGTATTTGTGTATATTCTTATGTTTGACTTCTTTCTCATTATGATTTAATATTAGACTCACTGCCTCAAAGGTGACCCTGCTCGATAACCATCTCTGATTTATCGCGTCTCCTTTCACACTGAATTGCAATTTTCTTAATTTTGTTTGTCAATGTTTACATTCGGTTTGTGATAAAATAAAGTACTGAGTACTGACTGTATTTCATCATACACCGGCCGGCGTATCGGTCTGACGCAATACCGAATAAGTGCGAGACAAAATCTCTTCTCATAACAACCCACAGCATGGCGCCACTTCAGATGCAGTGTTATGTACTTGGTATAGCAACAATATGTATTATATAAATAGTAGACTATTGCATGAAATGCATCTTTACCATTTGGACACGTAAGATTGGGAGCGAAGATTTTGCAACACTGATTTGTGTATGCTCAAACGTGCAGGTATCGATTTAGAGTAAAAAGTGCACTAAACTTACATAGTGTTTCAATGATGGAAAATGGGACGATGATAAAATTATGGAGTATATTAGTAACAGCGCTACTAATCAATATACTTATTATATATATTCGATAGGATGGATACATACTGCAGTTTGTCGATCTACTTTTTGTGTTGGAATCTTGAGTTTGATGATTCTTTAAAGCGATTTCATAGAATTCGAACCAGAGTGATACTTAGAAACTGCATTGAAACGAGTGCAGTTCGAGAGGCAGGAATTAATTCAAAACTGACATTTCACTGCCATTCAAGTTTGTTTACTTTCGTGCTCATTTCAAATCCTATATGGATGATTTCCCGAGCATCTGTATCTGTATAGTCGCTCAGACACTTCTTTCGCCCAGACAGATATTCAAGCATAGTTGTGAACATTGGCTCGTTTGTCATTTATCAGTTGTGTTTCCAAAATTTGATTTTCATTATGTCCTCCGAAGAGATTAAGTTTAGTTGCAATAATAAAAAAATCTGTCCCGAAAAGGCTGCGATAGACCCGGCTAAAGCTGCTGCTGTTGTATCATGACCGCAACAGCAGTCATCTCCTATTCGCTGTTCGGAACTGAACCCTTCTTAAAATCTGATGAAATCGAGTATTGCGCAACGTCAAATTAGTACTCGTTATGAAGCAACATGCGAACTAGTGAAAACTCTCTATGTCGTCATAATTGTTAACTGAAACTTTAACATGCTATGTCTCTTTCTGTTCGTTCGTATATGCGTTAGCTTACATAGTTGACTTTTATGACCTTATTAATTTCTGAAAATGAGCTGTATAGCGAAACTACCTACTAAGCAGTGGGTGAATGAAGCTTTCGGAAAAAATTCAAAGCTAGTAGTTCTGTTTTTATCTCGAGGAAAAAGCACTTCTGCTAGTAAAGATTTCGGTGAAGGTGTTGAAGCAAGATTGGTCCTTGAGAATGGAGAAACGTAAGTAGGATAGGGCTAGATTATCAACGTCAGGCTATAACTGAACATCCTTTCAGTTTTTTTTTTCAAAAACGAATTATAATTGGTGAATTGTCTGGTTCTAGTCAATCCAATAAAATGGCTTTATATATTTTATCTTTCAATGGATGTACGGCAAAGATTTGATGTTAACGTGACATTACCTCCCTGATGAATTTTATAAAATTTTACCATTTCACACAAACAGACAATTATTGGTATAAAAAACACTACATAATCAACATGTTCTTAGTAGTTGATCAGGCATGGTTAGATATCAAAATCACGAATAGTCATGGAAAGTTCGACTAAATTTTGCGCCTAAATAACTTTTATATAAGTGCAATAGTTTTCATACTGTGATTTTAAAAGTTTTTCTCTAACAAAGTTTTTTGGTATCACCATATTAAATACGCCTCAAAAAGTTGACTCTCTGTCGAAAGTAAAACGAGTTCACCTGGGATCGCAAGATTTCATTATCTTTGATTTTCATGAAGCATTCAACGATTGAAGAATGCTGAGTTGAACAAGATTGAATTATTTGGTCGTCTTTGAAGTGAGGCATAATTCAATTACAAGTGACTGAGTTTTCCGCCCGGCTAAAGAAAATTGGAAATCATGTAAAATAAAAAACAGTTCTACATATAACTGACTTGATTGACAATATGACCTGTCTCATAAAAAACGGCCTCCTATATCACAGCTCAATTATGGCCTTCTAGGGAGCTATTGGGACCTATTCTTAACTATTAACTAATAAAAGCTTCTTGTCAGACTATTGGACCTTAGGAGACAAAAATTTGACATCATTCTCCTAGCATGTTGTGTCACTAGTTGTATTTAAATTTGTACTTGATCGTCTATATACTCTTAATAATGTTTTCACAGATTCAAAGGCTGGTCTTTCGGCGCAGAAAACTCGAAATCTGGAGAAATTGTTTTCAACACTGGACTTGTTGGGTAGGCACATTAACTAGCTTTAAGGTTTCAGAGTAACATTAACTGATTGGACGATAATTAGGAAATCCTAACAATTTGAAAAATTTAACGTTTGACTTTGTAATAAAATTTTCAATTTGCAAGAAGACTTTATGGACAGCATGTCTATATATCCGCATATATCAGCAAATGGCAATTATACAAAACGTATTTATCACTTTCTAACCAGGTATCCGGAAAATCTGACGGATCCTTCATATGCTGGCCAAATATTGAATCTAACCTATCCTATCATCGGGAATTATGGAGTCCCTGACACGAAAGCTCGTGATAAATGGGGATTGCTTAAGAACGTAGAATCCGAGAAAATACACGTAATAAGATTTTTGTATTATTTTATATCTGTGATACACATCGTATGTTTTAATTATATCCTACCAACATGGGTATATGTAACCCACTGTAACTTCTAGCCATTCGTAGATATAACCCATGACTTCCGCGTTTTATTGGAAAGCTCGGAAATTTCAGTTATTTGTTGGATTCTATAGCTGAACGCTAAGTATTAATAAAACGCCAACAGCTGTGATTTTCTTTTTTGCTAGCTTAATATTTCTTTGATTATTTGGGGATTTCTTTTCGCAGGTATCCGGGTTGATTGTTCAAGATTACTCTCGACATCCAAGTCACTGGAATATGGCGAAAACATTATCTGACTGGCTGAAAGAAGAAAATGTTCCTGCTTTGTGGGGAATCGATACAAGGTATTCTTATTTAGCTTGTATTTATTCTATGACTGTAACACTAACCTATATACACAGGGTATGAAATAAAGAATTTCGAGTGTTTGATAGACTCGTATCATTTATCCAGGGTTACCATGTCGTGCTTATTTCTAAGATTTGTGCTTATTTTTAAGTTGCGTGCTTATTTTGTCTTGGAACCATGGATGATTCGTTCTTGTTTAGCGTACAAAGCCTGCGTGGAAACGAGGGACGGTGTTTAATTAATATTATAATACACTTTAATATTTATTATACGCAACGCGTATTCACGCTTCGCAGCGTTATTATTGTGTCGTGTCAATGTCTCGGTCTCACCTTCGAATGCGACGGGTATTTTCTCTTTGTTCGTGTGACGGGTATTTTCTTTTGTATGAGCGCAATAGACCAATGAAGCAAACCGTCTAAGCAGGGGGTGTACAATTACTTTCCTGAGTAAGCCGGTTCCAGATATGAGACTTGCTTACTGGACAGGAGGCTGAATATGAAGCTATGAATAAAACAGTTTATTCAAACTAGTGGAACAGCTAATGTACAACAAACATCTATTATACCAACGATGAATGGGTCTAATGTAGCCTAGCCCTAAAATAGTGGTTCCCAAACTTGCCTGTATATCGACTGCAAGTGGATGCGGACGATGAACATTGGCCCAAAAATATATTTGAACGAGTTCGGCAATGCGCGTGTAAAAATCTCCTGATATCAGAATTATAACGGTTCATTGGCGAAAGATAAGCGGACTTGATAAAACGTGGTAGATCGTAAGGAAGCGTGCGATACCTCGGGAATAGTAAGATTACTTTGGAATATGCATAAATTCGAAATATTCGAAATCCTATTTGGTATATTCCAACAGAGTCTTTTTTTATTATTTTAAGTTCAATGTTAACATATTACAGATTACGCCTTTATCAATTCGAAAAGCATGGAAGTAAAATAGGAAAAACGTGTAGTGATCATCAACATCGTATTAACCTTTGGCACCCGTGCTTATTTTTGACTCTTTTAAGTAGAGATGTTACTTAATTGGATGGTTTATGCCTGAAAATCTGGAATTTGATACAATTCAATACAATTTATGATGATAAATGTATATTTGTTTTTAACCGAGAAAGTCATCGATATCGATTTGGTTAAAATCAAACTTATTTTATTCACATAGCCCTACAAATTACAGATGTGAACTAATAGCACTTTTAATTACCATCAATCTTTATTAAGAATGCTGACAAAAATTATACGAGACGGCGGATCAATGTTGGCGAAAATTGAATTTGATGGTCAAACCTGTGATTATTTTGATCCGAATTATACGAATATGCAAAAAGGTCTATCTATCACGACCAAAAAAGTAGGTTAATTAGGAATTTTCAATTTCGATTTTTTTCGATTTCGTATATTCCGGTAGAATGTGAATGTTTTCCTTAACCCTGGCCCCGTAAAATTCTTCCTATACTTGACTTTTTATGCTTTTTTAGAGCGTTTCCGTGAGTTGGCAGGCACAAACTGGTTTACATGTTTCATGACCATGTTTTTGATTTAAAATATTTAACTACCAGCATAATTAGTCAATGTTACGGAAATAAACAGAGGAGGCAATGCTCGGGGAAAAATCTATAAACTGAATTGCAACAAAAAACCTTAAGCAGTGTTCAACAGCCTGGCTTGGTTTTGGTAAATCTGTAGAGTCGGAACACTCAATACTCCGGCTCTATTTTCTTGTCACGCTGATGAATCGAGGTCATAACATCCTAAATTAGTAGGGTAATTTGGAAATATTTGGCGATAGTTGTCATATGCTCACAATTTTTAATTGTATGCAAATACAAGTAGAATAACTACAAAATAAAAATAAAATAATTTTTATTGATGCAGGTTTATGGCAGAGGAAACAAGTATAAAGTTATTGTTGTCGATTGTGGAGTAAAACATAACATTATAAGATGTTTGATAGAACGTGATGTGGAAGTTCATTTGGTGCCCTGGGATTATGATTATACTGAAGAAGAATACGATGGTTTGTTCATTACAAACGGACCGGGTGATCCCGAAATGGCCCCTGAGACTATCACTCATATGAGGAAGGTTGGTAAATTAATGTTGGAGATGTGAACCAGACCACTGGCGGTTGTCGGAAACTCTAAAATTCGTTCAAACCCAATGTTTATAAGGCAATGCAACATGTGTAAAATATAATAGATCATTTTAATCATTAACTCGGTGTTTAACTCAACGACACTGAGATCGAAGTAAATGATACACTTTATTCACATTCAATTATACGCCATTGCGGTAGCGCTAATTCTAGGACTACTAGGCTGCGTAATAGAATCTAAATTCTTGTCCAAACTATTCATTGAATCTTATTTACGCAGAAGTGCTTTGCCATTTAATTTGGTTAGTTGCAAAAAATGACGGCTTTTCGTGATACAACCAACTGATGTCTGCTATTACGGTATAACTATAGGTCACTTATATTTATACGGGTTTAAGAATCGTTTAGATTAGATTATTAGACTGTCAAAAAAATCGATCCAGGATTAATCAAAAGTCCGCTGGAATCTCGATATATGTTGCAACCGACAAAGTTTAAATAGTTTCTATGTCTAAAAAATAGTTACGGCCGTATTACTTTGAAATGCTAGTTGCATTTGTCGATTTGCGTTTAATTTGATTCAGTTTTTATGCCGCATGTTACACTATGGGTAAATGAGCCACAGTTACGGTTCTACATGCTTTATATTTTAATATTCATGACTTAAAACGTCTTGTTTTTGAGAATCACATCACGCAGATGGGTGAATCGATAGGCATACAAGGCATAATGTTTACTCCTACGATTCAACAGTAATTTATCAGTATTTTTTATATATAAAATAAGACTTAAATTTGGAATGTTTAATCAACGAGCGGCGTATTCAATAAAAATGTTGTTATTTATTTTAGATTTTGGACATGAAAAGACCAGAACCTGTGTGTGGAATATGCATGGGAAATCAGATTTTAGGATTAGCAGCTGGCGGAGATTGCTACAAGTTAGCTTTGGGTAATCGTGGACAGAATCAACCGGTCATAAATTTACTGACTGGAGAAGCAATTATAACCCCACAGGTAATATAATCTCCTGCTTGAGCTGTCGGCGAAATTCAAGACAGAATCCAAAAACTTTATCTCGAAGCCGAAGGATAGGCTTAAATTACCAAACTGCTAAACGTAATAAAACCTCACATGAGATAGCTAGAGTGTGTTTGCACAACGATGTTTAACGCTATTCCCTCCAAACAACATCTGTTCAAGATTCATTGATATGATACATAGAGATACTATTTTTGTAACGATCGGAATCAATCGGTTCGGTATTCATTGCCCACCCTGAGTGAGGTGGTGGGCATGAAGTTTGAATACGAAATAAGTGACATGCGATGTCAGCATAGGTTAGTACAGCGCTTTAACGTTGCTATGGCAATCGCGCTCGTTTCGCAAAATTGATGATCGACAATGACTTGTTGTTGTGCTTGTTCCTATACTCTGTTGTATTTTAAAGTCTTTTTTCTTCAATTTTAAAATATTTGATTTAATACCAGACTTAATCTTTTCTGCCAGAACCATGGATACGCAGTGGATAGCAATTCACTTTCCGATGAATGGAGACCATTGTTCGTGAATGCCAATGATCTAACAAATGAAGGCATAATGCATACCGAGCGTCCGATATTCACTTCTCAGTTTCATCCAGAAGCATGTGGTGGGCCTACGGACACGAAATTCCTATTCGACTATTTTGTTGATATGATGAAAGATCGAAATGCGAGTCTGTACTCGTGTAAGTAAAGTGATGTATAATTCACTAATTTGTAGGTGCTCTACATTCATATTTTGATGTATACCTCAGTCTCAAAACTTTACATATTATTTTCTCAGTAACGGCAAATTCTTCAAAAAATATTGAAAGAATAAATGTTAAGAAAGTTTTGGTTCTTGGATCAGGTGGATTATCTATTGGACAAGCTGGTGAATTTGATTATTCTGGATCACAAGCTTTGAAAGGTCAGTTTCTATACAACATACAAGCGATTTTAGATTATACTTGCAACTAAGGTTGAAAATCGGGAGCTGAAGTCCCAGTCAGTTCGTTGTCACTTCACACACAAATCAAGTAAATGTGGCGGAACTGATATTATTTGTCAACCCTTAATTACCTGAGATTTGGTAACACTCTATATTCTAATAAACTGCGCGTACAAAAGCAAACTTTTGTTGTGCATATATTTTTAAAGTTTTAGTATAATATTGCCAGTAACTCGATATCATTTAAATCTGTTGTAGCTTTGAAAGAAGAAAACATCGAGACGGTGTTGATGAATCCCAATGTTGCTTCAGTGCAAACCAACGAAATCGGAGATAAACAGGCTGACTGGGTTTATTTTCTCCCGGTCACAAAAGAATTTATCAAGAAAGTCATTTTGGAACAGAAGCCAGACGGTATCCTGTTATCCATGGGAGGCCAAACTGCGTTGAATTGCGGTGTGGAACTTTATAAAGAAGGATTTTTGCAAGAACATGGAGTAAAGGTACAACTGAACTCGCATTTTACCATTTGCCAATTTTGTCGTTGTTAACGTTATTCGAGTACACTGTCAAAGTTGCTTTTTCTAATAATCTGCACTAGGTCTTATTGAGATCTAATGGTCCTCAATTTCCCAATGTATAAATAACTTCTGCTTTTCAGACGGCATCAATTAGTGTTAATGATATATTAGCAGTATATATATATATATGAATTATTATATGGATATTCGTGCAAGGTAACTAATATGCCATTCCTTGTTCTTGATTAGATTAGGTTTAAAGTAAAACAACAACATATGAATGATTGGTGAAAAAATTATTGAGTTGCACGACGATTTTAACAACAAATAACACTAAACCCTAATTTTATCAACAACTCATATTACAACTAGATTATGTAGTTTTTATAAATTTCTCGTTGTCGTTAAATTTTAGGTTCTTGGAACATCAGTTGAGAGTATAATGGCGACAGAAGATAGACAAACATTTGCTGATAAACTGAATGAAATTGGAGAAAAAATTGCTCCAAGTGTTGCAGTTGAATCGTTGGAAGATGCTTTGAAGGCCGCGGAAAAAATTGGATACCCTGTTATGATTAGGTATTTTTTGTTATCTCAGTTTTTCAAAATGCAGTTGATTTGATTTTTTATCTGAAAATTTGCGTTAAACTTTCGAGTAGGAACCACGAATACCAATTGGAGTACCATAGTATTTACCATACGCAGCTATTACATGTGGGGTACTTTTGAATAATTTTCGATTAAATCCGATGACTATCAATTAAGACAATTATGCCACGCTTGTTTTAAACTTGTTTTGTGTGCGGTTGAATACAAAATTTATTCTCCGAGTTCTTGTCTATAATGCCTGGCAAAATTGGGTGTGTTGACAGAACCTTGCTAGGTGCAAAAAAACGCGCTGAAAGGTGATGTCATTATTACCTATGTAAAATAATATATATTATAAGAAATTATGAAATTTTTTTTTCATTAATTTCACATTAAATATTTGCATTTTAAGATCTGCATATGCGCTTGGTGGACTAGGATCTGGCATCTGTAAAAATCCTGAGGAGTTGAAATCCATGGCACACAATGCATTTGCAGCAACAAACCAGATATTGGTTGAAAAATCACTTCTTGGATGGAAAGAAGTTGAATATGAGGTCAGATTTAGAAATTACATATTGATATTGAAATTTTTGTACATTCATTCATTGTTACAAACTTTCATAGAAGATAATTAGTGAAAAAAATTTTGGTCCATCGGTGAAGCTGATTCATATTGAAAAGATCCTCCAATCCAGATAAAACATTGTGTCTGGACGAGGTAATGTAGCGAAAATTTAGCAATTCAAGAATCAAATCAAAACAACTCCTTGTGTACAGTATACTACGAATGCAAAAGAAATATTAATACTATTCGATCAATGCTGTAAAATTGTTCGTACTTTTGTACGCTTCCGTCTTCCGGCTTCTATCCGACCAAAGTATGTAAATGCGAAAAGCCATGTAATGCGATAATAAATCTACGTGTACCACTGATGTGGCAAGTTTCTCGAACCCCGTTTCTCGTGATAAAATGACAATCCGCGATAATAATCCATATGCGGAGCTCATAGTCTTTCATATTCAGATCATAATAAAATCAATTTCTATTCACGTTCAGGTGGTACGGGATGCTGCTGATAACTGCATCACAGTATGTAACATGGAAAACTTTGATCCACTTGGTGTCCATACTGGTGAATCTATTGTGGTCGCTCCAAGTCAAACGTTATCAAATGAGGTATGGCGCCTAATTCATTGAAATTGGGCTTGATGTTATTCTTTTAAATATCTTTGGCAACGAACTATAGTGAAATATCAACAGTGTGCTACATCGTTTGCCTGTAGTGAAATTGAAATTTAATTATAAAACTGACTCAAGTATAAGTGATCTTCACACGCAGTTGAAAATATCGAGCTTGTACCATTTGATCGTTTATCAATCAAGTGGTCACATGTCTGCAATCTATCTGTAAATGCGAATTAATAGAATGAAAATTAGGTATATTATCCATAAACATCTTTGATTTCTACAATATACAGGAATATCATATGCTACGAGAGACCGCGATCAGATGTATCAGACATCTTGGAATCGTTGGAGAGTGCAATATTCAATATGCACTTGATCCAAACTCGTTGGAATATTGTATTATTGAGGTCAGTGTCATTCGTGATTTGAATAATATACTGAATGCTGAATCGGTGCTTTACAACCGTAAGATTTGAAAATCACAGATTAAGTGTTATCATTGTGTAGCGCTGCTAGATTGAAAGCTCTTGGCAGAAAGTTTAAAATAGTAAAACGGAGTTTTTTTTTATTAACATATTCTCATCTTTATCTTAAAAATGTGAAGCTAATGGAATTGGTTTGCCGCTCCACCGATCTGATAATCTTAATCCAGAGTTCTTCAACTTGTAGTACCAATTTAGTTATTGCCACCCTAACCACGGCCACCCATTGCCACGATCATACACACTTTGGATTGAATCTCAAAGTTGGATTTAATTTGATCGTTGAATTACACCTTTATTGATTTCATTTTTTATATCGTTATACAGGTGAACGCCAGACTTTCTCGAAGTTCTGCTCTGGCATCTAAAGCTACTGGGTATCCGTTGGCCTTCATCGCAGCAAAATTAAGTCTTGGAATCACTCTTCCAGAATTGAAGGTAAGGGTCGAAGTTGTGATATATATACCCAATTTGCCTTTTTTTGCAAGTATATGTTCAACAACAATTTTGGATGTATCTATCAAGTTTCGTACGAACCAATATTTGACTATTCATAGTTATAGAGTATGCAGGATTTGCAAGCGACCACTGGCACGGCAAGGGCTCCATATATTTCCAGGTACCGGCGCACACGGTGAATGCAACATTGTCAGGAAAGCAGCTTGGTGAATGACAATTCTCAGAAAGTGTAAATAACTTTTTCGTTGTGAGAATTGCCAACTTAGTATCTGAAAATTCGTCAGACCATGGACTGCAAAACAAAATTGATATAACAATTCGTTATACGAATATTTTTTATTTCAGAACGCCACGACAGGAACAACAACCGCCTGCTTTGAACCAAGTTTAGATTACATTGTGACGAAAATACCGAAATGGGATCTTGATAGATTTCCAGGTAAGAGTTGATATTCGATATTGTACTATCGGTTAGTTGCCTGGTTGTGGAATTTTGACTGTATGTTATTTATTGGAATCTCGGTATGGAGTCGATTCGGTTCATGGGAAATGCGTGATATTCTGTATTATGAAAAGTAAAGTCGCACTATTAAGACAAACATTGGTCTGAAGCACTAGAGGAAACCTTACAAAATATTTACTACTATTAAGCAAATTTTCTGCGAATCTGGCAACTCATTTACTGGTACTTTCAATCAGAACAATCAATCAAAGTTTTGCTTGATTTACAGAAGTTCCAAAAGAGATCGGAAGTTCGATGAAAAGTGTCGGGGAGGTGATGGCAATTGGTAGAACATTTGAAGAAAGTTTTCAGAAAGCACTCAGGATGACTCATCCTTCTGTTGATGGATTTACTCCGGAGTTACCTTCCGGAAAATCTTGGCCTGCTAATCAAGATTTGACAAAAGAAATTCAGGTATATTCAACGCAAGCTTACTAATTAAAGATATCACATTTACATGTAATGTTGAATTTACTGTTGAAAGGATGTAACGAAAAACACAAAACACAACACAATGCGTTATTAAAAATAATCGGCAGCGATATTTTAAGAAATCGCATGTACACCTATACAACTCACTGTTAATAATAATATTTATTGAAAAAATGTTTGCTCCTTGACTCATCATGCTGAAGACTTAACAGTTTCCCCCATAGGTTAGAATGCTCGGATGCGACGATTACGTCGACATCCTGAATAACGATAGGAACGCCACAGCCCTTCTACTTACAACAGTACTATTGTCTTATTTGTTCTTATTTATTTATTTGTTCTTTTCCTATCCCAAAAAAATACAGGTTCCCCACACAAACCGAGTTTACTCGATTGCCAAAGCGTTGGCCGATGGTTGGTCTGTGGATGCACTGCACAAGCTTTCTGCCATCGATAAATGGTTTTTATACAAGTTGAAAAGAATCTTTGATGTTTCTGATGATTTGAAACAGCAATGGGAGTCAAGCTGGCCTTCAAACGAGGCTAAAAGGTCTTTGCAGCGAGCAAAAGAGGCGGGGTTTTCTGATAAACAAATAGGTATGTAATTCAAATGAACGAAAGGTTGTATTGTATATTACGTCTGTTTTATTCATTTTGTTTATTTATACAATTCGGTAGTTTTTTTTATTTCAGTTTCTAAGCAAATATATGCGAGTGTTACAATCATTTTTTAAAAGATTAAGCATAAAACAATATGCTTAAAATACAAACAATTTTTTTTCGTTTTTATTTTAAAGCACACATTTTGGCAGAAATAGTTCAGTTGTGTTAAGATTTGTTTGTTGCTTAAAATTTAATTTTATTGCGGCTCGACGGTTGGCTAATGCGTTATCAACACGCTTGTTATCGCATCTCTAAAGCCCATCAGGCTCGAATCTCGTGGAAGATAATTATGTGCGAGATAATTGATGGACTTGATTTACGTAACACGTTGATCGCTTATGACCTCCTCCAACATCAAATCCAAGCATCCCAGACGAGTAACTGTCTATCTATCCAAACACTCGGTATGGACTAACTGGTGACCGGACGTGGTTTTCCCTGCAAATAGGTCGTTTTATCGGATGTTCCCTACCTTCGGATAAATACGAAAATTCCATCTATAAATGATTTATAATTTAAATTTTGGAACGTGTTCACTTTTTACTGTTTCTAATTATTCCTGTTACCATTTCTAATCATCTCTGATACCAATTATGATCATTTCAGGCAAATTAATCGGTGTATCTGAATCCGATGTTCGAAAGGCCAGATTGAGTGAAGGAATCGAACCATGTGTAAAGCAAATTGATACAATGGCTGCCGAATATCCTGCACAGACTAATTATTTATACATGAGTTACAATGGAACAGAGAATGATCTGGATTTCAACGAACATGGCACCATGGTACTTGGTTGTGGTCCTTATCATATTGGAAGCAGTGTTGAATTTGATTGGTGAGTAGGAAGTCAATATACGTATGCATTATCAGTAAGCATTGCAGATGAGTTTCTTGTACATGTCGAAATACCTTGAATTGTTTTCATACATGTAATATTTCTGATGATTTTTGTACAGGTGTGCTGTTTCTGCTATTCGTACTTTGAGAGATCTTGGATTGAGCACCGTGGTTGTCAATAACAATCCAGAAACAGTCAGCACTGATTTTGATGAATCTGATCGGCTTTACTTCGAAGAATTGTCTCTGGAGAGAGTTTTGGATATATACGAACGGGTACGCACTTTGCTGGAATATTATTAAACCTAGTGCTCAGAGATTGTCAAACGGAGAATGAAAGACTTGATCGCATCGGGGATATTCCGTCTAATTTTTCGTTACTGTTCCTCCCAGCAAATTGTTTGTTCTTACCAAACGACTCGAAGTATGTCATGTTTTACGTCCCATATTTATCACTTTCTTCTCTTTTTCAAACGTGTCCAAAATGTTTTTGAGATTCATAATGTGCTTATTACATAGGAGAAAAGCACTGGAGTTATTGTGTCAGTCGGTGGACAAATCCCGAACAATTTGTCTGGACCTTTGCATGACAATGGTGTAAATATACTTGGTACTCATCCATTCCGAATCAACGAGGCAGAAGAGAGATCAATATTCTCAAAAATAATGGACGAACTCGGTAAGCCATGATACTTCAAATACAGTTGCCAGGTTATGGAAATTCAAAGCAAACCTTGAATACTACTTTTTTTTACAATGAGGAACAAATCGATCTTCCATATGGCAACTATTTTTTCTGTTCGAGAATTGTAGCATCGTTTTTTATACATTTTAACCAAATGACTGAATTGAGTATACATACTTCCCAATGTTCTTAAGCCATCTGAGGAAAAATAAAAATTCTAAGGTGCGCAACATGCTTACTTTCTTCAGGTGTCGACCAAGCCCCGTGGGCTGCTTTACATACAAAAGAAGATGCGATGGAATTTGCGAAAAATGTTGGATTTCCTTGTCTTCTCCGTCCATCTTATGTTCTTAGTGGTTCCGCAATGAACGTCGCTTACACAAAAGGACAACTGGAGAAATATCTCACCGAAGCAACTAGGTTGGTATAATATATTCTCTCGCTGTCGCAATCCCCGCTGTGGAGTCGGGAGTTGAGCATTTTTTGTTATTGACATCATTATGCATTTAGTAACTTGTACATATGTGTACATTTTTCGAATTTTGAATCCTCTTGAAGTTATATTAAACATTGAACGCTGTGCTGTTACAGAGTGTCGCCGGAGCATCCAGTTGTTATCACCAAATTCATTCAACCAGCGAATGAAGTCGAAATGGATGCAGTAGCACAGAACGGTCACGTGGTAGCACACGCAGTCAGCGAACACATCGAAAATGCGGGAGTACATTCTGGCGATGCTACTTTAGTTTTGCCTTCCAGAACAGTTGAAAAAGAAGCTTTGGATAAGGTGCTGCACGAGTACATCTTTATTCTAAACTTTTAAGCGTAGAATTTTTATTTTACCTTTTTTTCATCTAGATTCGAGATGTCACCTCGAAAATAGCTCAAAGATTTGAAATCAGTGGACCATTTAACATTCAATTCCTGGTTCAAGGATCAAAGGTTATGGTCATAGAATGCAATCTTCGAGCATCGAGAAGTCTCCCTTTCGTATCTAAAACAATTAACACGGATATGATTGGAGTTGCAACTAAGGTAATAATATTGGATATCTATTTTTTACAGTTGGCCTCGGAAATTCGGCTTTGAGATTGCGACGTAAAAATTGGTACCTGAATGCCACTTTTTCAAGATCTTGCATTTTAAACCATGTTAGCCCGCTCAGTACGTCACTTAATTCAGAGCATTTAAAATTGAGTAAATTGGGTCTACCTGAATAGATTTCGCTCAATTTAAACTGATCACCTCAACGAATTTAGTATTATGCTTATAAATACATATGAATACTGGTATTCAAAATTAAATTCTTAATTTATTATAATATGTACAGTAATTGCATATTATCGATATTCCGGAATACCATAATTGTGAACAACTCATTCAAATTGTCGTAACAAAATTTTGGCGAGTTAGGATCGGCCTCGGCCAATGGCGGATTATATCGCTAATGTTTGTTCCACTTTTTGTACTAGAAGCATACGTTGATGATTGATGGTAATAGTTTCAATTACGTTTAAGGTAATGCTGGGACTACCACTAGACTATGGACAGCTACCCCATTTAGGTGCACCAGTAACTAACAGAGGATACGTAGGAGTGAAATCACCTATGTTTTCATGGGCTAGACTTAAAGGAGCGGACCCTGTTCTTAAGTAAGTAAAATAATCGGGATTATATTTTAACAAATATTCTCAAGCAAAATGATATTGGTATATGTGCTCTATTTATTGGACGTGGCTAAATGATTGAGTCATTTTTGAAGAGGTTCTTGATCTTCAATTAATTGTCTTTCTGTGACCTTGCCTAGCAAAGGCTGCCTGTGCAGAACATTGTTCGGAGCGAAATAAATACTTCATATAAAAATATATAATGCAATTGAATAATTATGTAATAAAGAGTCTTCATATAGTATTTTAAGTATTTATTTTACACAGCGTCATTTTATTGAGTATATGGAATAAGAAAATGAATTACGCTAAAATGTGATAAAGAGGATTTGGTGGTGAATAAAGAAATCAGTAAATTATTCCATGCATGCTTTTTCTCAATCATATCAGACAACAAGTTAGAGGCAGTATCGATTCTGTTCAACTTGAATGATCAGAAGCCATTAGCTGACAAACTTATTTGCTTTTTAATACAGATTGATAAGTAAGGCACTTGTATTTATTTAGATGCGAAATGTCTTCGACCGGTGAAGTTGCAAGCTACAGTTCTAATTTCCATCATGCATTTTTGAAGTCCATGATTTCAGCTGGATTTAAAATTCCAAAGAAAGGAATTATGTTAAATATAGAGGTAATTGATTTAAACCCGACATTCACTAAACATATAATGAATGCCATATTGCCCGTAAATCTCGGCTAACCTCTAGGACAGGGGCGGGCAACATTTATTCGGCACGCGAGATCATTTTCCTTCAGATAAAAAGTTTCAAGACTCTGAATTATCTGATGAAACTAGGTGTTTGTATTCATTATCGTCTGTTAACAATCCGTTATATATTTATGTCTGTCATTTATTTCTCTTATTGTTTTTTAATGACACATGGCTACAAATAAATGTATTATGACGTAGTAAATGAGTAAGCTGTCGAGAAGAACGTAGCATTTATGTGGTTACATTCTTACGTAATATAGTTCGTCTATGATAAAACCCTCTGTGCCACCATTTCTCTTCATTTCTACTTGATTTATGGAGTTGTACAGCGAATGTCGGTTAAATTTACATTAACTAACGGTTAACTTACGGTTTTAAATTGATCTCCTCAGAAATATATACGTTTTGGGAAGGGAATACAAGGGAGAAGTGCAGGAAACCAGCTATTGCGTGATTGGGATGCCATTCCCGAAAATTGTTCGTGTCTTAAGAACTTTGCAACGGCATTACTCCCCATGTTTTCATATACATATGCTTGTGAATCTTTGTTCTCAGAACTTTTGCTTTGAAAGTAGCAGAGCATTGTTTTTTTAATATCGGTCGTCACGCGGTAGAATTTTGTCGTTAAATTTTGCCAATTTTGGCACGCGAGTCGAAAAAGGTTGCCCACTCCTGCTCTAGGAGGTACTATTTTTGGGAGACTGAAATTTTTTGTACGACTCCTTGTTCTGATAAATCCTCTTTATTTTCAGAGAGATTTTCAAGAATCTTTTGCAGAAGCTGCAGGAAAATTTGCGAACTTAGATTATAACTTGTATGCTTCTAAAAATACCATGGAATATTTGCTGAAGATGGGAATTGAAGCAAAGTATATTGGACATGACAACACCGAGAGGTAAAATATTTCTCAGATTCCTCATGCCACACGCTCTTGCAACGATCTGCAATGCAATGCAATAATTGCGCAGCTAACCGCAGCTAGCTGCAGGTTCATTTAATTAAGTATACCAATGTATCGAAAACACCCAGACGAGCTACGACAAAATCATAATATATTTCTCGTATACCTTTTATTTAGATACAGTTACTTTTCCTAATATAGTATAATGCGTAAGTTTACATTGGATATAATTTGGCAAAAAATTCGGACCTCCTGAAGTATGCTCACCAAGATGGCGCACAACCTGAACTTGGGTTGTGTACCAGGTTAGGATTCAGGTTGTGCGTCATCTTGGTGCGCATACTTCAGAAGCACCATAATGTAGTTTAGTGTTCAAAATGTCATATAGCCTTTTCAATGCTATTGATGTCACATAATAACTCGTTATACAATCTTGTCCAACGCATGGGGGGAAGAGTATAGTTATAGATTTGACTATTTATATTTTTATTCCAGTTTTCTGCGAGATGGGAGCGTCGACCTCGTTGTGAATTTATCTCATAATAATCAGCAAAATAAGGACAATCAAAATGATAATTATAAACTAAGAAGAGTTGCAATCGACAACAACATTCCACTTCTTACTAATCCACAGGTAGGATGTAATAAAATAAGTCAAGTTAACTTGCATTTTACTGTAAATAAATTGGGTGAATATGAAATATCGATGTTGGGAATAATCGGCTGTAGTTATTATTTCAATCACCTCTACATTTTGTAAATGACGTATTATGTGAGGGAACAAGTACTTGCTTGCGTGCTATTCTCGTTGTAGTTCAAGCAATCTTTCAACTCGTTTTCCTCAGTGGTAGGTACATTGGGATTTCTTAGACTTTATACATTAGCCTAGTTTTATCTGTGCTTTTTATATTCTGCCTATATTAACATATACAATCCACACTAATTTTATTTAGAATATCATATTTTATTAAAACGTTAAATTGAATGTAAACCTAAATTCTCAACTAATTCTCTATGCATTGTTCCTTATTTACAGATTGTCAGCTGCTTAGCTGATGCGCTTGAATCAACCAAAAACAGCGAGCTAGATACAGCCACCCTCTTCCACTTCAGAAGAGATGCTGCTGCCAACATCGGCGAGGTCGACGAAGACGTCGCTTCCAAAATGTGGAAGCGACAAATGCAATCATAACTCTTTAAGTTCCGCTGCCAATAGGATAGCATATACATAATAATATCAATTTTATGATAAAACTCGTTGCATTCATATATTGCAACGTATGGGCTTAGCCTTAGATCATTGAAATATGCCACATTTGTGCCACATTTGTACAGATTTGTTTTATGTTGTGAATTATGAGACAAGACGTCTGAAAAAATATTGCGTTTGTGTGTAGTTATATGTTACTGGTTGGTGTGAAATATATCAAGTATATCCGGAAATGTTTCATTCAATTCGTGTAATGTAGAATCGGAAACGGGACCGAGTGAATATCATGAAATAGGGGAAGTTAGCGACCTAAAGGTCGTGTCATCATACGGTATCTCGGTTTGATTCCGCGTCGGTCCGCAATCGATCATCAATTAGAATGTAGGTCAGGGTTGTCCATTACAATGTGAAGTATGGCACTGCCTGTATCCAACAAGTTTGTCAATATTCTGTGTGATGTAGCAATGCAGAGTGAAATTTTCATATGACTGTCAGAAATTAGCGATCTCACGGGGGTTTTGACATTGTTCATTCGAGAAAAAACTTGCTCTTACAAGTAAATGATGTCAAATATTGAGGTCATGAAAGCTGCCTCTTCTAGCCTCACAGAGTCATGTGGCCCGCGGGCCACGGTTTGGACGACCCTGGTGTAGGGAAACTACATCTCTTTTTCTTCGCATTCAATAGATTTCCTCGTCTTCGTAGAGACTTATACACAGGCTTATTTGGGTGGATAATATGTGAAACACGTCTTAAAATGCTACCGAGTTACTCCTAAGTCTGTTTACATTGCCACAAATCTTCCACTGGCAACGCAAATTATTCAGAATATTTTTGATTGCATATGACACTGAATTGGAATAATATAAGATATATACATACATTTCAATATATATATTTCAAAATGTATGTTGTTAATTTGAAACTTATAGATTATGAGTAAATATATATAATTACAAATAATTAAAACTTCAGACTTAATTTACAAATATGGCGCAAACTCAGGATTGGAATAATTTTTAAAATGAACAACATTATCAATCGAGTAAAATCAGGGATACAAAAACTTGCACACTCCATGGTTCTGGTAAAGTATTCATTCTTATTGAAGTTACCCCACTTGGGGTCTTGTCGCTTTACGTTCATCTGAGTTACTGTTATCCAAAAAGTTAATCGCTTTCGTCATTATTCAAGAGTTTGCATGAATATCTTGGTCTCCGTCCACCTCGAGTCTGGAATTTACTCTTTGGATACTCACAATCTAAACGAAAATATGAGAACAACATTCTAATACAACAGTGAAATTAAGGTTATTCAATTGTCTAAATTTTTAAAATACTGCAATTGGTGGAAAATTAGTCATTTTAAACATTGGTTAGGGATTATGTTAATGATGAAAACTAAATATTTGCAAGATGGTGCTTAACAAAAACTTTTGATACATTTTACATACGTTCCTCGACTATGACGAGCAAACGGAACCTCCGAAATATATCAATCGTTGTGCCACATTAACAGCATATCGTTTCGACATATTCATGAACAACTCCGACGCACATGTAACGCTTTTCTCAATTTATAGATAGCCTTTTAGTTAATGGTGTGCAATAAATACCTGTGAAAAACTGCACGGAACGGAAATGTCCAACACGTTTCTTGTTGTTATATGCGACTACGTATGCTGATATGTTTTCTCCAGACTTGAGCTTTTGTATAGTTCGAGTCATTTTTCCAGATACTAGTTCTTCTTGAGTTGGCGGTTCAACAATATGTTTGTTTGCTCTTTTATCAGCAGTAAACTGAATTATTGAAAAACCGAATTTACGATTTATTACTTTTATTGGACGATCATGTAAGATTGCCATGCCGATATTGTGACCCTCAATAACGTATAATAACCACAGCGTTTAGTTATTTTATGTTTTTCTCGGCGACACGATTTCAAATCACTAAGTGATTGCAATATCTCTATTTCAATGAACCTATCAATTGGTAAATCGTTGGTGAGACTTTAACAATTTGTAAGTGTCAAATGAAACATACTCACCGATTCAAACGTGTATACGTAGTAAATGTTTGCATTATCCATGAGTGGCCATGTTAAAGTGGCAGATTCCTCTGATGTCTAGAAAATAACCAAACATCAGGTTTATAAAAACTTGAAAGCAAATAGTTACACCACAACTATACAAAATCACCCAGCGTGACTATGAAACAAACTATGAAAATAATTAATGATTTATTGCAGTTCTTATCTTGTATACGTAATTCAGTTTCAAAACGTAGTGGCATGTTTGGTGACGAATAGAATTAAGGATAAAAGATAAAGTCGACAAGCTTCACTCCACAGAATCGTTAGTGAGGAGCAAGAAGCGCGGTTGAAAAATATAGAAAAAAATCATTAAGTTCTGATACGAATACTGATGTCGAATTTTCTAATGATATTATATATTTGTCAAGTAATTTGGAACAGGTACTTTAGCGTCGACACGTGAAATCAAAGACACAGTACAATAAATCCTCATGACTTTTGCAATTTAATCTTGCTATAGAAACACAATAGGGGAACAAGAGTCAATAGTTCCAATAAATAGTCTTATCAGTCGTTTTTCCTATTAAGCATATAAGCCTCACTCTTATTTTCACTTTCTGCTTTCCATTGGGTCACGCCTCCGATATGATGTAGAGTCGAGCAATTACCAGAAATTTCGAAAAACAAGACTGTTTCACTTCGATTATAAAAAGTAGTGAACAAAATTTGATATTACAAAAAACATCTATTGTCTTACCTTCATCTTTCTCAATGAACTCATTCTCTGATACGACATAACGTTAGACGACGACAAAATTAAACAAAATAATACAATTAAAACTTTCATTCTGTTGAGCTTTAACATTAATTCAATCAACAAATATATATCTGTTAGATTAAACAATAACAACATGACATATATATACTTATACCCGAGCAGATAAAGTAATGACACTGATTTTTTCCCTTGTTCTAGTGTTAGGGTGGGACAAACGTAATTTTATAATACCTGCTTTGATGAAAATAATTTACATATCAGATACTTCCATCTAGAACAGGGGGGTCCAAACCCTGGCCCGCCGCTTCATTATCTGTGGCCCACGCCGCACTCGCGGAGTATAATCAGAATATCGTATTTTAAATTGCTTCTCATAAAATAAATCAGAAAAATCGTTTGACATATTGTTGTTATATCACTACTGTGACTGAATTGACTAGTATGATGGCTAGCTGAAGCAACTAGCGGAGTTAAGATGTGATGGGCAGTCTAAATTGTTACCTGGATTTCTGTCGTTTTAGTCGGGAATATATGCTAACAATATAGGCATGATGGAAAACTCATTAGCCTAGGTTGGCAATGCCTATGTGATAACTATGCGTTTGCACAAGAGAAGTACTTGTTTTGTATTGCACTGTTTACCTTGGTACTATTGCGTTCTGCGACCAATACCAAAATAATTTTGTGGCCTGCGGAGCCCACAACCTTGGACCACCCTGATCTAGAACAAGCATCATTTCTGTAATACAACATAGATTTAATCTCTCGTGTAATTTGTTACTTCCCAGTAAACTAATCTTATGTCATAGTTAGAGTGCATTCTCTATGCCTAATATAAATAATATTTTCCTATCCCATGCACACCGTTGCCCTTTTTCGTAAAAATCATATAATTGACAGCCTCTCGAGATGGACGTCTCACAATCCCTGACCCTGTTACAGCCTTCGAGTATTGGCGTAATGAGCTCCTTAAAGGTTATCTCTGAAATTTTATATGGGTTGCCATCCCCGAGGTTTGTTGACGAAGTAAATCATCCGTATCGCTTAAGGCAAACAACAAGGTATTTTGTCTTTTTTACGCAAGGGTTGGCACGTAATCTAGCGATTTAAATATTAAAGGTTCTACTCTATATTCTAAAAACTTAAGAATAACATGTTGTTCGACGTCGATATCCACGTGATATGTTGATGATTAACTTATTGAAAGGGGTCAAACGCAAATGAAATCTATGATTAGTATTTGCAGAGAAGTTACATGCCAGTGTTTATTTATTTATTTATGGTGATAAATTTGCTTTCGGTGTTGGATCTAGATAAATAAGATTTTATTAAATCTTAAAGTAGTGACGTCATCGCGATTACGCGAATCAAGTCATGAAAATTTAGGCCCACTACGGATTATATTCTGAATCATGATGGACGTTTCTCCTGACATTGAGTTCAGATCAAAATGTTGCGCTCCCTTGAGGGATGGCTATCAAAAATAGATTGCCAAAATGGTGCAATAGGCGGACATTTAGTCATTTGAGATTTTATTCCGCATTCATTTATTTCATTCAATTTTTTCACGGAATTACATTCGAAAAATATAGATTCATCAACATTAGATAATAAATCAGAAAGTTATTTCAAAAAGTGTGAATTCCGTAGAAAACGTTTTGTATTATGTAACCACTAGGGCTGGGAATGGTTAACCGGTTAACGGATTTTAGATGGTTAACGGTTACGATTTATTTCAACCGTTAACTGATATCTCGGGTACAAATTCTTTTTATACTGTACAATTTTTTCAAAAATGATTACGTCATCGCAAATTTATCTGCTGTGGCATTTATATCAAAAGAATATCACTAACTTTTTGGGTAAGGTAAATGTGAAAAAGAATTGAAGCACCAAGATTGTTGATTATGAAAATTTACAATGATAAATTCAGAATCAGTTTTCGCTCGAAATATATTGTTCACAATTTTGTTGCAAAATCGTATATTCAATGTCATCCAACAAGTGCGCAGATGATGCCGTTCTTCTTTGAGATATCTCGAAGTAGAATTTGTACATCGAACACTGAAAATTTGTCACATAAATGACGTTTGATAACGGAATCGGGTTTTCTAAAACACTTCCACATGTCCGAACCACGCTGCATATCTCTTGCAGCAGAGCAATCATGTACCATCTCGATTCGTGAATAATTTTGAGCGATACCGAGACAAGATCACGCGAAATTGCTTTATACCCATTGTGACGGAACAAGCGGAAATTATAAAATATTACGTCAAACGTCACGCTGCGGTTAACCGGTTAATTTTACCCGGTTGACAGTTAAAGTGTTTTCCCTGAAATTCCCAGCCCTAGTAACCACATATCTCTGAAAAGCAGCAAAATGAACTCCGCACTATAGTGCATAGCTGAAACACATAGGAGTTTTGCAATTCATTTTTGACGAGTCATTGATGCAGTCGTTTGTGGCATGTTTTTTACGTTGAATGTGCGAAAAACGACAAACTATACCCGAGGTACCTTTTTGTTACGTTTCACCATTAGTGTCTATTTCGTCTTCGCCCTGAAACACCTAGAAAAATGCCATCACCGTAACCGAGAATATAAGTTGATCTCAAAATTTTCTCTTAAAGTCGGATGCTTGTCGGATGTCGGATAGACAAGCACAATCACACGATCAATAATAACTGTTATTCTACAATGGCGATTATCCATTACTCGCAAGTAAGTTTAAATTATTTATATATCATTATGAGTGAATGGGAGACGGTGATCTGTGTTCCGTATGTTTGTATAGAGCCAGAGCGTGCAGATAATTTTGCCTGTTCAACAGTGCTATCAATTTGTGATAAATATATTTTGTCTCATATATGCACGACATAAAAAAGAGCAGTGCTTTATGACAATGGTTCACATCGATTTTTGAGAGAAATCGCCGCATTTTCCACTTTAAATAACAAGAGCTTTTCTGCATTAGGAAGCCGAACAACCTAAATCAGACCTTAGATATCGTCTGCCGAAATGGACGTAACATATAGTGAGTCCCGAGTCGCGACCACCATATATATTCGTAAAAGTTCACGAGTATATATATATATATATATATATATATACTGAAATATATTTGATGGCAGTTTTTAGGAAATGCTTTGAGCGGTCCAGTAAAAAGGCATTTGCTAGAGTCTGCTCGACCTTCAAATCGAGTGTACCTCAAGTAAATAAACGACATGATTTATTGAAATAGCGCAGCCGATGAGAGCGTGCAATTACGTCACCTCACGTTCTCTGATGAAATCAATTAGCTGACAAATAGGCTAATGGCGGATTGAAAGTTTTCGTCGCTCGTTGAAATGATACCAAATGCTAAGTAAAACAGAACCAATGATAAATGTAACATACCATGTAATAATATACTGTTAAATATAAAATAATAATAGTATGCAAAGTTTTTGGTTCAAGAATGTAATTATTCATTGTGATGCCGTAATCCACTCCAAATAATAAACAGTGTTATTCATACATGACAATATAATAAACAAAATACGATTCGATCATAAAGTTAGTCACCAAGTCAATTGCGACCAAATATATACTATGAGACATAAATGTGTCATGGTGTTCCACGTAGCCTACTTAGCTTACTTCAAGATCAAGATGCATACCGATTTTGAGCTTGTGAATTTACTTTCTGCAACACGTTGTCAAACACAACTGCCATTGTAATATTTTTAATCTTAATCCTAATTTAAACTTAATACAAACAATCCCATTCGTGAATGAATTTTCCGTTTTTTCATATATAGCCTTCATAGCTTTTAATAATTCGGATTTAACCTTATGATGATTGTATTCGAATCGTTTAATACAGTGCTCTTTGACTGATTTCAATTGGAAATATCCTAAATAAAAGTATTCAGCAGCCAAGATATAAGACAAAATTTTATCTTTTGAAAATTTGACAAAAATCACATTATCACCACGATAATAATTTACAGAAAGTCTGTAAATTGTAGATTTGCAAATTTAAAAAAAAAATAAAACTAAAATCACAATAGTGACGTATCTCCATGAGTTATGTTACCTAAAACGGTGACAAATTGTTTAATTTTCATGTAATGTTAATTACTTTTAATGAAAGCACTTGAGCGTGATTTGTATGTAGATTTTTGACTATGAGAAAAAACTTATATCTTATTCTTTGTATCAATTTTTAAGGAATGACCAAATCTCGTTGTCATGGTGATTTCAGCTACAATTAAAGTAGTGGAAAGTCCAGGATATAATTTACTAATTAAAAATTGAAATAAATAAAAAAATTTCCAAGATTTAAGTTTGGACAATTTCCAGAATTTAAGTTTGTTCTATTTGTGGAGAATACAAATAAATATTTGAATAACATACAAATAAAAAAGATCTGAAATAACTTTTTGCACAGTCAGGTATGCGAATACTACTGCTCAAAATTTACCAACTTTATATATATATATGGGCCTACATATTAATGTATTTCATCTCAAGTATTTGCCAATAATGTTTTTTAATTCAAACGTTTTCAATCTATAAAAACTTGCACCTATGAAAAAGCAACCAGGTAATAGTAAACTCAGTTTAAAGTCTTGCATCTCTTACGCATAACTTTTTCGGAGGATATGCGTCATTTTGTAAAATTCTCCAGTAGAAAAATTTGCAAACTATGATATAATAAACAGTGTTCACTTTGATATTCATTTGGCACAAACTATTCAATAGAGAATATACCTCATATATGCTAAATAAAGTGTGCATCAATTTTCTAAATATAATAGTCGTCTAATATTTATGATTCGGCTTACTTTTAATTTTTTAACATATGGGAACACTTGTTATAATATGCTATTCGAATCCGTAATATTTCCTGGTGACGTAAGAGGATGGATTACATAAATATCGGAAAGAGATTTACGTGATTCATTTCAATACAAATGAGAGAACAGAGATAAGCAAACAATTGGCGAAAACCGTTTAGGAAAATGCTATTTCTAATTTAATATTTTGAAATCAGGTTCAGGTTCTAAATGTCAAAATATGTGTGTGAAACTAAAATAATTTTAACCAAGAAATCTGAGAAGCATTACAGAGAATTCTTTCTCTTTCAAATTTACGAGCTTCGTTACCGATTTTAGGCCTCGAAACATAATTAGTAGACTCCAAGTCTGACTGGTTTATTTTATTTTGAAATATAAATAAAGGAGCATTCATATTTCAACATTAATATCTTATTCGGTTAGGGTTAAAGCATTGGGTCCGCACATAATTTCATAGTGAACTGATGTTTAACAACCGAAGAAGAATGAGTCGCTCAAAAATGGCACGGGTGGGGTTAGACCAAACAACGGGAATGACAACTTGCTGATTATCAATCGATTTCATGAATATTTTGCGTCATGCTTTTCCTCCTTTGAACACAGGTTTCCAAACAAATAATTATGAAATATAAATTTAATAGTCGGACTTGATGGTGCTTTTTATACAGTATAACTGTATAAAACTCGTTTTACGGATATTTTGGATATATATATAAAAGTCATAATGATTTTATTTAGAGTTCGCCAGAGCATGAAAGCTATACGTTGGTTCTATCAAATATAAATATATATACAATTTGACGGCGTAAAAATTAATAATTTAGGGTAGAATTTAGGATGATTGATTGAAGATAATAAAAAGTTTATTCAACATTTATAGGCTATACATATTGCAGTGTCTTTGAATGATACAAGTTATATGTTATCAAAAATAAACTATGACTAGATATAAGTTTTTGCTTCTGTCGTTTGTATGTCTTTTGCAATGCATTCCGCAAGGTTACGGTCACAGCTGGTTAGCATGTACCGATTATGCCGAGAAGAACGGTCGTTATTACGATCACGACTTATGCAGGGGATACGCAAGATCAGCACTCCGATTGGCACCCAGAGGAGGAACGTTTGGAGGAGATACAGGTTTGGTATTTTAGTAAAGCCTCAAATGCTAGTGTACATGGCAGAATTTGAATTTTTTTTCCATTTTCTGGTCAGTACTGTTTTAACGAACCTGGCAGATACAAGCTTACTGTTTTATCTGTACCATCTTCATAGTATCAAAAATGAGAAGTTTCGAAGTTTAGCTAATTACAGTGGAATTAACGACAAGCTGAATCTAAGTTCAATCCAAATCTAATCAACAAATGGACCATCAACCAACACCCACAAATAGAAATCCTCGCCAATATTCAAGTTTCTGAATAGGCTATCTGACTCGTGATTCAACTCAAAAGATGTAGTTTACCACACCGTTCAATTTTTACAACCATACGTTACAACTATAAGTTTGGGCTTCTAGTAACTGGACTAATACATTTTGCTTTTTTTTTTGATAGATATACTAGTAACTAGTCCAACAATAAAATATTTAAAATGAATCTAAATATAATATTACACTTCTGTACAGGGTTTGATTATCATTCACAAGAAACTAAACCGTGCAAGACATCCAGGAACGATAATACTGAATATGACGCAGATCATCGAATGGCAGTTTATTACCCGGGTCAGCAAGTGGTTTTGGCTCATCCAATGAAAGTGAGATTCACTCAAGTTTAGTTTTCAAAAGTTAAATTTACTAATATACTATAATGAAGTTTTTACAGCATCTTATATCAAATGTAGACCACTTGAATATCTGTACATGCTAACTGTCGTTCTGTTTTTAGAATCATGGATCCGACTCGTGTACTAACCGCTATATTCCCGATAGTGGAAACTTCATCTACCGAGGAAACGTAAATGATCAATTCGATCTCACACTATCTCAATTTCGAGAAGAACTTGTTGCAGATCTTGGAGTAAAGGATCCACCAGATCAATCGTCCGATGCGTACACACAATATCCTAAACCCGGCTATCAAAACGCGCCTGCATTTTGCGAAAATAAAGACAAATCACTGGGAACATACAGTTTCAATGTACCATCCGATCTCCAGCCAGGTTTGTTTACCATATTGTAAAAATTTGGCTATCTAGTACAGGCACGCCATAGAGATTTGTTACACTCTCCAATTAGTAACTGTCTATCTGAGGGAAAGATATATTGCCTCTAAATATCACTACTAGCTACTCGATGATGCGATGTAATACACTGGCCTGAACTTAAAGTTCACAATAGATTCCATGTCTGAGAAAAGATTGCCTGAAAGTCGATATGAAAAGCATATATAATCCTGAGTAATATCTGTGAATCCTTCAGCATACCATAATATTATCCCGCAAATGTAGGCTATATATTGTTAAATCTATATAACATCTTTCTATCTAAGGTCGATACACATTTCTCTGGCTCTGGGGATTCAATAGCATCGGCGATCTTTATTCGTCTTGCTTTGAAGTGGACATTGTCTCAACATTAGCGGAAAGAAACTCATTGCTATTAGTAAGCAAAACTAATTAAAAAATTGTTGGCGATTCTGTATAGATGTTATCGACAAATAGACTAATCTCTTAACATATAAATCAGGGATATTTGGTGGAGGTAGATTTATCCGTCCTGAAATTTATGCTATGCAGTTGTCCCAATATCAAATAAAATACAGAATTAAATTTTAGTTGGTTAAATGCATTGATTGTATTTCCACATTAATTACAGTAATATATTTGACAGAGTTATGGCCTTTCTAACTTCTACGAGCCTTGCGGTGGTCTAACGTCTAATTTCGGTATTTATGGGAACACAAATCCAGGATGTACCGAGACTGATACTGGTATTACCACATCTACTTCAACTACCACAACTACAACAACCACTGCCCCTGCTACAGTATCAACAAGTTCCACTACCACGTGAGTATATAACGAAGTTCTTCTGGTCTTTACTATTCCCCACCAAACTCTTTTGAACTTCCGTATTTGATAAAAACACATTTGTAGCAATAGAAATATAGATAGAAGTTCATCCTTCCATTGCTTATATGCTCATGTTTTCCAGTGAAATGTGCCATTTAACCCACTATGGGCTTAGAGAATCCATGTTTCGTCATGTTCATGATATAAATTAAAATGTCGAATGGGGCTGAGTTTTTAGGAAGGAATGATTCAGAAGCCAAAAATACTTTTGCAAGCTGAATTTCGATAAAAGTATTTTCATTTTTATTTTAGGGCTACTACAACTACAGGCAGACCGGGCGAGACATTGTTAGCTGTACAAACATTACAAATAGGAGGAGAAATTACCTTGCCACTGGCAGAGTCTGGTACAATGAGAAGATACATATCTGTTCACTGGGACTGTCCTGTAATAGCTAACGTGAGTATTATAAATAAAGTATTAAAACTCCAGAATTACAACTCTTTGTTTGTTTATGCAGCTATTTTTTGCTATTCATCTTTTCAAATCACAATATATGTCGTCAAATAAACGTTTTACTGAATTTTGATTTTTTTTAATTTTCTGTAGTTTTGGAACATTCGTGTCACCGGTTATCACGACGTTGCTGGAAGCGGAGGTGTTCATTACAATTTGTTGCACGAAGGATACGAAATGGGGAGTGGGAAGTTTTACTACCATGCCATGTTCACCCAACCGTGTGATTTGAAAGCATACCCACCGATAGCTAAAATAATTAGAGATGAAGCATAATCCTGTGTTGTTGAATATACTATGAAATAGAATTTAAATATAAAGTTCATTATTATTTATAGTTTTCTATTTCATCGAATCAGACTATTACTTACGTAGATATATAGTTTAATTCAATCATCTCAACCTCGACAACAAGTTCCATCCTGAGAGCAATTTCTCCGCTATACTTGACTGAATATGAATATCTTTAATAATATCTATAAGTAATAAGTTTTTTAAAATCAATGTATTGCAATCATTTTTATCTGATGATATCAAAATCAATTCTGGACTGGAAAAATACGGGCTGAGTTACACCATTGGCCCTCAATCTTTTATGTTTTGGCCTGACATTATATATTGCGCAGAATATGCGGATAATGAACGCAGTAACTGTTGATAATATACCTTATTTATTTAATACATATTTCACTCGAAAAAAGTGACATAGACAATTTCAACATCACGAGTTATGGGAAATATGGTTTCTAAAGAATAAATTTGCATCCTGTGAATATTTAATCAGATTGCGTTATGTTTGTCGGGACGTTTGGCAAAGTTCGATTTCCGGGAAACAAATACAAAGAAAAAGTGTATTTATAGAGACTCACTCCAGCAAATATCAAAATTAGTTCTAGGGGATGATTATTTCAGAAAATATTATAACAGATAATCATTCAGTCTACTAACATAAGATAATCACTTGATTCACTGAACGTTTTAACCTAAATATTGTATCGATCTTATGCATAAACATCAGCCAAATTTTGATACCGAAATATCGAACCCAGACGACATTAGAATCAGAGTTCGCTTTCGGCACAATGAGAGCGATGTTATTATGCGCTACACTCAGGATATTAAATCGAAATCATAATATATGGATTGGATGAAAGAATTAAGCTCGCTCATAATTCTGTACTAAATACATATATAACAAGATAAGAACAATAATCTGCTTAACACGATATCACATAAATTGGGTTAATAGATTAAATAACGTAAATAGCAATTAGTTGATTATCAATCGGTTACAAAAGAATGAATTTCATTAATACATTTTTCTTTGTACATAAAATGTTCAAAAAGACACATGTGAAATAGCAAACGAAATGTTGTCGGTTTGACTAACAAATGCATAATTTACTGGAAGGAAGTTACGCTTACCATGCGTTGTTTCCGCTTGCGTTATACCGATTGAATGATTATATAAAGATGATAATACGAAAGTGAATTTAATTGGAGTTTGTCAAAGGTTTGTTCGTATATGACAAATACGTTAACAGGTATATGATATATCTTGCTTTATTTAAAAAGTCATTTTTATCTTCACGTAATGTAATCAAATATCACTACAATTTTGGCGGCGTAAAAACTAATGATGGGGATTTTTACAACAGTATTTAAACTTAAACATTTCTATTGCAGTGAATTCAAAATATACTGTTCAAGTTATCAAAAATAAACTATGATTAAATACAAGTTTGCCCTTTTGTCATTTTTCTGCCTATTGGAATGCATTCCGCAAGGTTACGGTCACAGCTGGTTAGCATGTACCGATTATGCCGAGAAGAATGGTCGATATTACGACGACGACTTATGCAGAGGTTACGCAAGATCAGCAAACGAGCTGGCACCTAGAGGGGGAACGTTCGGACTGGATAAAGGTTTGATATTTCAGTGAATCCCCAGGTGCGAGGGTATGCTGAAATATTTAAAAATTCTAGCCACGTTGAAAATGAAAAAAGAAAAACTAGTTTGCAACAACCTACTGGCAAGTAGCCTAATACAACTCGATTATAGTCTTAGTCTCTTCATGTTATATATATTCCATTTTACATAAAAAAAATTCACAACTCTAACAGTTCTAGGCGGGATTGGATAACACTGAATACATCATATATCATAGATTCGAACTACTGTATATTATAGTTTTGCCCGCCTTTTTTTTGTATATACTAGCCGAACAATATAATGCTTAAATATAAATCCAAATGTTATATTCACCACTGTACATTTTAGGATTCGATTACCATCCGATAGAAAATCAACCGTGCAAGACATCCAGGAACGATGGTACTGAATATGACGCAGATCATCGAATGGCAGTTTACTACCCGGGTCAGCAAGTGGTTTTGGCTCATCCAATGAAAGTGAGATTCATACGCCTTTTTAAAAGTTAATTTCACTAAAGCACCAATAAGGAGTATTCCAATTCCAACTTTTGAACTTGTATTTGTATGACGCTTGCTTAACTTCAATTTATTTTTTTTAGAATCATGGATCCGACACATGTACTAGCCGCTACATTCCCGATACTGGAAACTTCATCTATCGAGGGGGCCTGAATGACGAATCCGATCTCACACTATCTCAATTTCGAGCAGAACTTGTCGCCGACCTTGGAGTAAAAGATCCACCAGACGAAACATCTAATGCATACACACAATATCCTAAACCTGGTTACCAAAACGCGCCTGCATTTTGCGAAGACACCGGCTTGTCTTTGGGAACGTACAGTTTCAACGTACCATCCGATCTCCAGCCAGGTTTGTTTATCAGGTTGTAAAAATGTAGCTTTGCTGTATATGCGGACTGAAAAGGAGTTTAAATTGCGTACCGATTAGGCGATTAGGAATTATCGATTTAGGGTTAATTAACGATGATATAATGTATTGTGCTGATCTAAACTTAAACTTTACGAAAGATTCGGTGCATTATAAAAAAGAGAGAAATATTGCCTGACAGTGGAACTAAAATGTACATATAATATTCCGAAAAATAAATTAGAATGTTACTCAATGGAGAATATTGAGTATATTGTCAACTAAAAACGGCATTACTTTGTTTTCTTTCAAAGGTCAATATACGTTTCTCTGGCTATGGGAGTTCAATAACGTCGGCGATATATATACATCGTGCTTTGAAGTCAACATTGTCTCAACATTGGCGGAGAGAAATTCCATGCTATCAGTAAGAAAAATTGTTTTCAAAATGCATTGGTAATTCTGAGTAAAAATGATTGGAATATAGATTATACATTACTCTTAATATACATCTTAGGGGCATAACAGCTGCCGCAATTTATGTTCTACCGTGTTGTCCAAATTCGAGATGAATTGGAGAACTGATTTTTTACTTTGTGAAATGTGTTAGGCCTAATTGTATTTCAACGTCATTTGTATCATTATATTTGACAGAGTTATGGTCTTTCTAATTTCTACGAGCCTTGCGGTGGTCTAACGTCTAATTTTGGCATTGCCGGAAACACAAATCCAGGTTGTACCGAGACTGACACTGGTATTACCACATCTACTTCAACTACCACAACCACGGCCCCTGCTACAGTATCAACAAGTTCCACTACCACGTGAGTATATTAAGTCTTTTGTGAAGTTCGTTCTGTCCGTATTTTCATTAATTAAACAAAATTAAAAACCCTCAAACTTTTAGATCCAAACTTGGTAATTTAAATAAACGATGGTCTGATATCTGCTGTTTGTCAATCTTCTGCGCCTTCTGTTTTCTAAACTGTGCTTCATTTATTCAGTGATACACGATTGTAATTGAGGAAACATAGCTCCAAGGTCCTCTTGAGTAATTTACCACACAATCATGTATTCGGCTATTTTGGTTTTTATTAAAACAATTTAAGCGACAAATAATGTTGTATTGAAGAATGCATTTAGCCGATCTTGGGCGCAGAGTGTTGTTTGGCTGATCAATGGATGGTGCCTCATTCACAAACCCATGTTTGGCCATACATATGAAATAAACACAATGCCGAATTTGCATGTTATTTTTTGAACAAACGAACTCCTAAATTCACTTTTATTTACATTTGGGTAGACGAAAATCTTCGATTACAAGCATTATATTATTTCAGGACTACTACCACTACACCTGCACCGGGCGAGACATTGTTAGCTGTACAGACTTCACAAATGGGAGGAGAAATTAACTTGCCACTGGCAGAGTCTGGTACAATGAGAAGATACATATCTGTTCACTGGGACTGTCCTGTAATAGCTAGCGTGAGTATTATAACTTGCATGTCTTATGATGTAGCAGATTTTTTCAGGCTGGTTGAACACAAGCATGTTTTGTGGCCACAGCCTACAGCCAGGGTCGGATTTATACGATGAAAGACCTTAGTCCAAGGATGGCAAACCTTTCCAATGAATGGGTCGAATATTATATATTTATAATGAAAAAGAAAACTGTGGGTCATATTTTTGAGTCGATGTCCACATCAATGTTAAGCTAGCTGTTGCAGATTTTCCGCAAGTCTTATTGTAGGGATTAGATCTCACTACACATTAATTGTTGATTTCTTGGTCCGATTTGTTGAGCCCGACACGAGTTTAGACCGACAAGAGTTTTGTCCCAAGTTTGTCAACCTGACGACAATCGCCGAAAGCAGGGAATAGACGATTGAAACACCTTATGAGTTTTATTGAAATTCCGACAATAAATACAGAATACAATGTACACACTCTTAGATCAATTCTTATTCTTAAATCAAACAGCAAAAATAATCTCCTTGAAAAGGTGTGGAGTATATATATACGTTCGTCAAACATCTAATTAATGTTGGAAACGTGATCTTGTGATTCACTCCATAAACAGAAACTCTCATTAACTCAACATGGATAATTATGTACTTCGTACGGTTGAGAACTTAAATCTAATTATTCTATATTGTGTTTGAATATCCTGAGAAAATAAATTTTAATTCAATAACAACAGGACGAAACATGTTCCTAAATGTTGAAGTTCTATAATTTGATTCCCACGAAAACCTTTGTTAAAAATTAAGTTTCATAATTTTAACTGAATTGAATTTGGGGTAAATCTGGGGAGTTTATGCTATATTATAATCCTCGGTTGGTATCGTATAGTTTAGTTTCGAGCTTTACAAATACAGTAATTATATCAGGACTGGGTGAATTTTACGAAATTCATACGCGAAAGCACCGATTCGCATGCACATGAATTATATACCCTACTACAAATGTTTATTTATGTAACAAATTTGAGTCAATGAAATAATGTTTTCCGAACGGCATTGTATGCGAAAAAAAGAAAGTAGCGAAGGGTATGAAATAGCGAAGTAGAATCTGCTTCTCACATGTCCACAAAACATTCTGCGCATTGCTACAATGCAATTACCAACGAGGGTTGCTATAATTTGGAAGATATGAACAGATAAACTGCATTGCTATGCCACTAACACTGTTCAATTTTGTTATATTGAATTGAAGCAGTTTATTTATCAACGAAATGCTGGTATGATATATAAGCTGGTATCACACCTTTTGACACTCTATCTTTCGTCACTTGGTGGCATAGGCGTAGCCAGCAGTGGGCGAGAGTGGCCATGGCCCCTCCCAAATTTCCAAGATTACGAAGATCTGATAATGCCCAGAGTAGTCGAAGTACAAGTTTATCGCGACAACATCTGTGCTGATTCAGCATCCCAGTATTTCCCACGTTCCGTATATCTTCTATACGTCGACGGCTTGAGCTGCTATATCCGGGAACGCTTCATTGGCAACCCCTCGTTTTTTGCTTTACTATCAATTCTTCTTCCGAACGAACCAGTCCGGGTGGATGAGATTGAGTGTTTGTATTTGTTGGATAACCTCCAGAATGAAGTGAGACTGTGGAGATCTTCTTTGAGCTCCGACGTCAGCGACGAATGTTTAAAGGAGCTTCTTCTGAGCAGTCGAGATTTTTCAAGCGTTGATGATGAGCGTTCTTTTTCCTGTATAAATCGGGTGAAGACATGGCTGCGCTCATCAATGACGTCCAATAGCCTTTTCGATTTGTGTGTCCTTCATTGTCATCGTGAAATGATCACTGAGGAGAAGATCAATCGGATTGTGGCGAGCATAGTTGGCGGAAAGCGAAGAATGGACTTTCAATGGTGGCGATGACTTTTACTGGTTCAGATTGCGTTATAAATATTTGTTGTATCAAAGAAAAAGTTGTTCGGGAAATAAATTTTGTATTCACAAAAAGCCAGCTAAGTTGTTGAATATTAATTTCTTTATTGGTCTTTTTCTGCTTGAAGAAGCGATGTCTCAAACCCAATATCATTGCTTGAAATTACAATATTTGCCCCCCATCAAAATTCTGAGCTGGCTACGCCTTTACTTGGTGGGTCACTAAAATACGTGGTGGGTCACTTGATGACTCGCGGGCCAGGGGTTTGCCATCCCTGTCCTAGGCTCTGTCATTGCCGAGGCGCTTCTTTAACATTGGCATTGTTACTGTATGAATATATATTATGGCGTCACAGTAATGATTAATCCGTTTTGCTTCATGGCATTTTTATGATGTACATTAAGTATTCAACAAAATGAATGTCGATGCTTCTACGGTGAGGCCAATAAGGTTCAACCTACCTCGCCTAATGGTAAATCAGTCCCTCCCTGCCTATAGAGACTAATTTTAGCTTATATATAGCGTTATATATATTCATGTTTTTAAACGAAAAGACGATGTTATCAATATGTATTAAACTGACGTTTTATCATTTTTATTTTCTGTAGTTTTGGAACATTCGTGTCACTGGTTATCACGACGTTGCTGGAAGCGGAGGTGTGCATTACGATTTGTTGCACCAATGACATTAAACAACATGATGCGCAACTCCGGCATTTTTGGCCGAAGATCGTATCTGATAGCACGCTCCAATGCACATACTTGACGAGACGAAAACGAGCGGATGTGTGCTGCTTTCAAGACATAGCACGAATGGTGTTCGTGCCTGCTTTGACAGTTGTCGATTTTAATGATATTTTGGGAGGTTGAGGTAAAAAGAAATTGGAAAAAGGTAAGGTAAATATCATTGTTGTATATCACACCCGGGCATCGCACTGTTAAGTACATGTGGGAAAACCAGCTTTTGTCAAATACTACGAAGTTATTATTTCAGTACGGTACGTAGTTGCCCATTTGCCGAAATTGCATATTTACTCACCCCTTATGGTTTCAAATAGTTCATGCACCTTCATTTAGATTTTTTTTAATCAGTGAGGATATATACTCATTGCTGTAACCTACTATTGCTCATTCACTTTTATTTGCGTATTGAATCAAAGGGTTAACAAGTTCACCTAACATTCACTCATACCGGACTATATTGTATAGTCTTATCTCTCAAGTATTTGGAGCCACGAATGCTTGTAATTTTCTGACGAAACCCTTTTATTAGTTGGTTTATATACCAAATTCAGTAAAACATTTTTTACATAAAACATGAGATATTGGATTTATTATCTTTTCCATTCTAAATCATATAGACTGCTTTATTTATTCTTAACGAAAATTAATAAATCTCCTCTCTTTCTTCAGATGTGGAAGTTGTGGACAAACCTGTCTAAGCATTGTGAGACTCCTGCAGCACAAGAAGCAACAGCAAAAATAGTAAGTATATCAATCAAAAAATTAAGCCGACATAAAACAAAACTTTCAACTATTCGTCTAACCTCAATTTCCTATTATTTATTCACAGGACAACTAGCAGAGGGGAGATATCAGAAGTCTGGCGACATATCAGTGACAGTGTGATTCCAAGAAATATAATTTAGAGTACTCCATAAATGTTTGCAATAGAAGAACAACCTATGGAGGCATGCAAACACATTTGACCCTCCGGTAGACTTGTGTATGGCCCCCATATCCTGCAGGCCTTGAGGAAAATAACTAAAAATTCCAAAGCGTAAGATTCCATAAGCGTAAGCACAAAACACGCCAGACATACTTAAAACAGCTTTGGAAAATGAGGATTACGGGTCACTCACTACACCTGTGTTATATTTGGTTCATCAACTTTTGGTAGTACTATAGAAGAAATTCAGGAAAGGGTATAATCATGATTCACGATAAAATACTGTTATATATTTTAGCCAACTTTAATCTAGACCAGAGATGTCAAACTCGCGGCCCCAGAGAACTTCCAGTGCGGCCCTCGAACGCCTAACAATAATTCTAATAGTATTTTGGAAGTTTTTTTTATCTAAATGTAATAGAATTTTCAAACCTTCTAAAGTGAAATTGATTATTCACACAGAAAACAATTTACTGAAAGTAGTTTTGAAAAATTATTTTTTTTGTTCACATTTTGACCCAATTAAGAATACACATCAAGCTAGCAAAAGAATACTTGAATAAAACACTTGAGTAAATAAATTAAACGCAAGTACATGAAGAAGGTGGCATTTTCGAAAAAAATGGGAGTTGCAATATTTCTGCATTTCACAAAATTCTGAAGCAAAGAAGAATTCTGTTTAATTTGTCATATTTCCATCAGTACGATGAAAAAACACAATCTCAAAACACAAGCTCAGCAGTCAATATGACAAATTCGAAGAGCAACTTCGAACAGAAAGTTTCCATGTGTTTGTATATTAATATAATTATACAACGACTTAGTTACTAAAAATCAATAATAATTCAAGCAATCCTATGCCACGCAATGTGGCGCGAAATGTCTTGTCGAAAAAATCTGTCATTTGTTTTTTTACTGATCTATACATAAAATGATAAAAGTAACTTTTTTGCATTACTGGAATTATTTAAACATTCGCAAAGATCCCGATTAACCCATGATCATGTGACCTCGTGAGTTAGAGTTGGTACTATAAAATCATTTCAGCCTGGCATTAGTATGCTGGTGACACATAAAAGATGCCAAACGTCAGGACAAATGTAATTAAAAAAACAATGAGTTTATACTGTAGTATTTTTGTCAATTTTAGGTCCATATATTTCGATTAAGTGTATGCATTATTCTTTCCTTATCCAAAGCTTGTTCAAAAATGATTTTGATATTTAATTTTTTTTTAATTTAAATTACCATGTGATGGTCATATACATCTTTAACTTGTATTTTCTGTCATGGTGTATTATCTCAATGTGTCAAACTTTTAATTAGCGTGCATATTTTGCTTCCAGATGACATAAATGTACTGTCTTGGAGTATTGACAAGAAAAAGGTGCCAGTAAATTACGTAAATTTTTTTAAAACTCTTTGTTATAATCAGAATTCACAATTAATAGAAATTATAAACAGCCAACAATCAATGAGAATTATATGCGAAATCCCTCAGAATAAATTTTCTCCTAAAATCGGAGGAAGGCAAAACATATAGGTAGTTCCCATTCACACAAGTCTTTCAAGAGGACTTGCTCGAGCCAAACTAAATGAGCATCGTCAGGTGATCGGTAAGGCTGAAAGTTGAATTTAGCCCTGCAACCTCATGCATCGAAGATAATAATAATTAGTGAGCTATGAGCTAAATTTAGACACAAACCTATCTACGGGGCATTATGTACCAGAAATGTTACCTACGATTAGCTGAATATGTAATATATCTAAGAAATTCACCTACTAAAGCAAGTTCGATAGGTGCAAAATTTGTGTTATGGAATTGTACCGCAGCACCAAAAAAAGAAGTAAAAACAGTTTTGCTGTTTTGTATGACACCCTCTTTAAATGAAATTTCAATGTTCAAGCGCAAACATTAAAACTACTAACTTTGAACTTTGTCATTATCTGCAAAATGTTTCAAACAAATCTTTACGCTATCGCGTTTGTAATCTTTTCTGATAAAAAAACGTCTATGATGTGCAGAATTACTCTTCGCAGCTTGTCTGCAATTCCAGCTTTCCAAGCGAGCAAAACTTCTTAGATATAAGGATTATTTTCTTTCGTTACAGGCGCAAAAAGGCAGGTGCTACACGTAAAGAAAACGCCGAGTAGCAAAAGCGAGCGGAAAACGGTCGCGAAAGGCGACGAGAAATATGTGCATTGGAGCGTATCATGAAATACAATCTTTCGCCTGTAGCCTTATAGAGTGACGTCAGAGTTGCCTATCATGTTGTTTAATGTCATTGGTTGCACGAAGGAAACGAATTGGACAGTGGGAAGTTTTACTACCATGCCATGTTTACTCAACCGTGTCATTTGGAAACAAACCCTCCGATAGCTACCCTCATCAGAGATGAAGCATAATTCTGCGTTGTTGAAGATATCATGAATTAAAATATAAAGTGTGTTGTTATTAATCAATTCTTCATTTATCAAAATACGTCGTTGATTTGATAAATTACTGTTCATTCAATAAATGCGATCTCTTATTTAAGGATCAATGTGAGATCAGATAGAGAAAAATCGCTTACTTGTAGTTAACTATAAGCATATGCCTCTGAAATGGAAGCTGCAGCCGTCAAAATCGATGTCTGGATTTATTTTTATTACATATTGATTTCGAAATCTTGAACTCAACAGTCAGGCTTGAGTGACGTAAGTGGTTGACATCATGACATATCAATCTTTATTGTGTCTTGATTTTTTAAGGAATTGATAATATATCATTATTATATTGATATCATACGGATCTCAAAATATATTGTGTATACTTTTTTCCAATTTCTCGCATCGTATGGGGTACTGGAAGTAATCGTTGTTGCTGATTAGTATACGGTAGGCTCGCGGTTCCGAAATAGCGTACCTGAAGAGCAGTGGGGGCTGGATCTTGTTATAATATAATAAGAGAAGTGGAAAGTAAATAATTCAATATGAGGAAATTTAATCTTCAACATTTTATTCCATTTAAGATATGATCTCGAATATGTTTTTATTTTAAAAACAGTTATCTTCAACTGCATTCTGGGAAAATATACTGAAGTTTTACTGAAGGTCTAGTCAGAACTATTTAACTACCAAAAACTGACTACTATAAAACTGTGCTTTCTCCACATAACCATAACCGTGCCTTGAGTTGAATTCTCTGAGTTCAAAAGTATTTAAAATTGTTGTCGTATTCCTCATTCGGTACTACTGCGGTGCATACGAAAATTCCTAAGAGTCACATTCCAGCTGTGTTTTTTATCAATTTGAATCGAAACACCTGTGACGTGAATGTCGTTCACGAAAGACAGTTGCGCCGCGGAACATCGGAATTCACTGGGCTAGTGGTTCAATTGATAAAATTTAGTCGACTGAGCAGTCACATTTTTAGTCATATTGCAGTAGCTGACTTTACGACAATTTCTCGTTACCGTTGCGGTGCTTTGTTTTTTGTAGGATCAGGAGGGCATGAAATTCGTCAGACTTGTCGAAATTCCTTTACGATAAATGTTTCCCATATCGAAAAAAACTTATTTCAATCCATTTTCTAGAACTGCTGGTCCGTGGAATTCTTGATTTTATTTTTTTCTGGTTATATTTTATATGGGGTGTACTAGGGTAGTGTGTACTGAACTGCAAGTCCCTTCTCCTTGTTTACTTTTTATTGCGGATTCGTATTTGTCAGTTGCCACAAGGATGCTTGAACGAGATAGGTAAATATGAATAACATAATATCTTTCCAGAAAATAGTAAGTTTATTTATAAACAAACTCATAAACTCTTTTAAACTTATCATTTGGTGGAAAGAGATTATGTTATTCATATTTATATGATGGAATAATTATGCTCTCGACCCATAAATATTCGCGAAGTGAATTAGCTTTCTACATGCGTATCGCTCATATAGTATGAAGAATTTAGCATCGCATTCACATTATTATTTGTATGATCCACATCAGAATCATTCTTTAGGAACAATTACCTTTTCATACATATCAGCACAATAATTCCCAAGTATACTTTGTAATAATTACACAAATTTGCTGAGAAAAAGGTATTTGCAGAACTGGAAAATCATCGAGACATGTTATTGCAGTAAAAGTTCTCGTGCTGCCATTTCTTGGATATATAATACGACGTAAAAATAATTTTTGAAAAGTATTTGCCTACAATTCTATGTCAACACATTTATAAAACATGTCTTGACACGCCAGGATGCATTCCGTACGCTTTAAGTCTATTCAGTTATGAATTTATGTGCCCAAACAATGATTTTCACCCGGTGTTAATTGGAACACTGGTGTTCCGCTAACGATATTCAGGTTTTCCGCGTCAAATTGTTGTTTTTCAAATTATTTCATGTTCACATATTTCTAATAAAAATTGATCAAAGTAGAAATAAATCAAAATTTACCTAACAAGTATTTGATTTCAGATGAGTCTGTTGTTTGATAAAGAAGATTCACATCGCAAACTCTGACATCTCTGAATCTCGTTTGTTTGGACATTACGAAATGCCTTTCCTCCGCGAAGTTCGCCAGCAGATAAAGCATTGAAATGTCATTGATTTTTCCTGTTTCCTGCAGCGTTATGTAGAATAATGAACCTTTTATTTGTAGTCTTCGTAGCCACTAATTTGACCTCATCAGGTAACTCGAGACATAAGATATTGGTCTTCTTGCTATTTTCTGTCTTTTTTGTTAATGAGAGAATGATATACAGTATGTATTTAGAGTGGGCCAAAAAATGGCACCGTTTTTTAGATTCAGAATGTAAAAAATGGTATCATAATTTGTCTCGCCCAGTAAAGAAATCTATACAACTGATCCACAAAATAAGCCTGAAGGATTATCGGAAATCTATAAAAATCATCCATTTTTGATTAATTTTAAGATTTTGTTTTGCCGGTATTAGTTTCATTATTATGTCTTTCAGCAGAATAATATATTTTATATGATTATCAGTAATTTTTAGCAAATGTATGGCATAGGAGAATTTTTTATACAAAAATTCTTGAACGTTTGTGAGCTTACAGCATAAGCTTACAAAATAAACGCTCGATAAATAGTCTTTATCTTATTAATCTTTTCTGATTACTAAGAACTGTTTACAACTACAAAATACCAAATAGTTCTCAGTAACATTTAAACATTTTAGTTTTTGTTATATAATATGAAAAATATAGTGTGGAAACATTATGTATATACCGTATATATCGTTGCGTTTTTGCAAAAAAAAATGATTTAATAAAAATAATGTGTTGCAAAAATGTAAGCTAATTTTCCACGCAATAAATTAAACCCCCCTCTTAATATCGACATTCGAATCAAAATATTATAAAAACATCTATCATCTCACTATGATTCAAGCATCTCTCACTGCTGCGTATCCCATTTTAAAACCTCATACTCTTTGCCTACTTATTTTTTAAAATATATCATTTACAAAGTATTTCGTCTCATGAATCTATGTAGTTCTTCTTGTTTACTCGTTATTCTTATTGATATTTGTTTGACATGTTATTTTCTTTGTTGGTATATTTTGCTGTTAATTGTTTGTCACATACTCATTAGAGACTTTTTTGTGGTTGATCGCTTACGTTTTTTTTTATATATATGATAGGTGTGAAAATCTTTATATCTGCATCAAACATGAATCAAATATGTAGGGATCGTGTTTTGCTATAAGTATATCATGGATCGTTTTGAGCAAAGCCAACCAGTTTTGAGGTGGATTTGTCACATTTGAAAGTGGCATAAGAATGTGTAGTTAGTTGTATGCGTCATTACCCCCGCGGCACTTTTTACACGATAAAATTCAATTGAACATTCAATATATAACTTTCTTCTTCAAATGAAATCAACTTGTAGAATTTTTGGGAATCTATAAAAATCATCTATTTATATTGATATTAGGATTATGTTTTATCAGTATTAGTTTCATGAATTTGTATGTTAGCAGCATGACATATTTTATATGTTTGTCAGTAATGTATAGCAGATATATGTCATAGATGAATTTTTTACACAAAAATTTTTGAAATGTTTTGAACTTACAGCATAAGCTTAAGAAGCAGCAAATACTTAGATGAATATTTTATTTTATTAACCTTTTCTGATAACGAAGAACTGTTTACAATTACAAATAGTCTCCACAGACGTTGAACATTTCAGTTTTTATTATATAATATGAAATATCTATTATATAAAACATTAAATAAACGTTTTTGCAAGAAACAAGACGATTTAATGAAAATAATGTGTTGCAAAAACATGTAAGCTAATTTTTCATGCAATGTATTAAACTAATTTTTTAATATCGATTTTTGAATCAAAGTGTTTCAAACAAAATCTAACGAATAAAACGTTCAAGGCATCCTTCCATTCAGTTCAATTCCATTCAATCCACTGAGCGTCCAAAATGATACGATGATCATTCGAAAATTGTCAGAGTTGAGAAATCAACTTTTACAAAAGATTTGTTTTTCTGGGGGAAAGGAATTCAAATTTTTATAATAAAATGATTTTGGCGAATCTATAGCCGATTTAGCAGAACGTCTGGTTCGTATTTGGGACATTATTCATGACATTGTGCATGTTGTCGGGTAAATTAATTGAGCCTTTTACTGCTTTATTTATTTAAATGGGTCGATTTCGATGAGTTCTAAAACAGGTATCATATCACATGATTAAAGCATCTCTCATTATTACGTATCTCATTTTAAATCTTACAGCTTTTCCCTATTCATTTTTTAAAATATACCTTATACAAAATATCTCTTTTTTAATCTATATTTGTTAGTTCTTATTCACTCGATATTCTTATTGATATTTGTTTGATGTGTTATTTTTTATGTTAGTATTTTTCGCTGCTGGTTGTTTGTCACGTTTGTCACATTTGAAAGTGACATAACAATGTGTAGTTGTTCTGTGTCATTACTCCCGAGGCACTTTTTACATGATTAACCTTCAATATATAACGTTCTTCTCCTAAATCAAACTATTGAATTTATTAGATTATTTCTGCATTAAAAATATGGCCAAATTGCTGATACTTTGGATAACTGCTCAATGCATCGGGATGTGCTACAGTCATAGCTGGCTGGCATGTACCGATTACGCAGAAAAGAATGCAAGATACTACGATCATAAGTTATGTCGTGGATATGCAAGATCAGCTATTCGTTTCGCGCCCAGAGGTGGTGAATTTGGACTGGATAAAGGTATGAACAATTGAACACGAAATCGGCAGGGGCTGTCGAACATGAATACCCGGAAAATTAAAAAATGCACGAGAAAAATTATAGCTTCCGAAAAGTTAAAGGGTTAAATGCTATTATCATAGTGCTATTAAATAGCAGTTTTGAAATCTTTTGTCAGTACTTGCTCATAGCATTTGGGTCAATCTTCAGTTTCTATAGTATTTTCTACTATGAACTTTTCCTTAAGAAATTGATGGCACCGAATTCCGAGAGGGCAAGGAAAATCCAATTTTGCCATGCTTTGAAACAATGTTTATTAAGAAATCCTTTTTTCTTTTTGTCACATTTTTTAATTTTAATTAGATTTTAACCACAGTCCAGTAGAAGATACTCCATGCAGAACTAAGCGAAATGATTCGACTGAATACAACAAGGAGCATCCCATGGCAGTGTACTATCCTGGTCAACAAGTTGTTTTAGCCCATCCTATGAATGTGAGTAAAACTTGTATGGACGCGTGGTAGATCTGTCGTTTATTTTCGTTTTTATCAGGGGTTCACTTCTGATGTTTGTCTCGCCTTTCTTTCGTTTTACGTATCACAAAAACACACACAATCAAGACCAATTTGTGAGGGGTGTGGTGTACACCAGAGTTAGGAAGTTGGCGAGAAGAATAAACCGATTTCAATAACAAATTTTATGTTAAAAATAGTTGAATTCATCTTCCGAATGTATGAAAAAATTACTGCGACTGCTTTGGCATATGTAAAAATCACTTATAGCATCAATTAAACACATTAATATCGACCGAGTCTTCAAGCCTACTTTTTATTTATATATATTCCCCAGGTCGTTTGCGATAGATCATTAACTTGCTTATACAATGATAGACTGACATCAACACTTTTTTATGCAGTATCATGGATCGGATTGGTGTTCTACCATTTACGTACCAGACAAAGGATCCTTCATTTATCGGGGCGAGAAAAATGATGAAGCTGATCTTACATTTAGCGAGTTCCGCAAAAATCTCGTCGCGGATCTTGGTGCAAAAGATCCCCCAGTCATGGGATCAACTAAACATCACGTTTATCCAAAGCCTGGATACCAAAACGCGCCTGCATTTTGTGAAAATATGAGAAAGTCCTTGGGAACGTACAGCTTCAACGTTCCAAAAAATCTGGAACCAGGTCAAGTAAAATAGTGGTTCAAGTTTATTGCATCCTACCAATGATAATGAACTTTTCTGATGACGGAAGCAAAATGGATGTAAAATACATTTGTTTGTTCCATGACTAGATTATTTTCTATAAAGTCATCTAAAGTTATTAAATGACATTATCCTTCGCCAAATTCCGAAATTTTAATTGGCAATGTACTCAAATATTAAGTAGAAACAGTTTCTACTATGTGTCAAAGATATTGTAAAAGACCATCATACAAATCACTTTTGTTGATAAAGTGTTGCTTTCTGAAGAGAATAGTAAAAATAAAAGTTGGAAAAGGTTGTTTCGTGCTTTTTGAAAAAAACAGCTAGAACACACATACCAACCAATAAGAACTATTTTTATCAACTTTTTATAGCGTGTTGAGACATCTGAAAATACTTATTTGCAGAGAGTTTGATGACAAAACGTTCTCTATTTATTTCAATACAGGTCAATACACATTCATGTGGTTATGGGCATTCAACAGCTTCAAGGAAATATATTCAACATGTTTTGAAGTGAAAATTGTTAAAACGTTAAAACAAAGAAATGTACAACTCGCTGTAAGTTATGAGCGCGCTCGTCAATTTTTGAAACGGGTCTTAGCACTAAACAATTCTTCAATGATATTAAAATATTTGACTGAATTATTTAAAATTAAAGACCCATGCTTACTCACCTTCCCCTTCTATTTTTACGTTTTCAACTCCCTGAATCTCTCTTCTTCTATTCATTTTCTACTTTACTTGATTGGCAGAATGCTTGTATGAGCCAGATGATCGGAATATATAACGCTAATATATCCCACAGCTACTTATTTTAGATTTCGTTTGTTTGAAACTTTGGTAACATTGAACAAGCTACTTTTGTTTTGATTAAGTCCAATTCAATTTATTCTTGAATTTTAAACCTGTTTCAACTATTTTCAATATAACTATTTAAGAGGCATATTGATATTTCATATTTGCATTGCCAGAAAAACGGGTTTGAAAATTTTTACGAACCCTGTGGTGGAAAAACTTCCAATTTCAGTATTCGAGGGAACACAAATCCAGGGTGTCGTGGATATAAAAGAATAAATGCACAGAAAAAACCCAAAATAAGTATGCAGAAAAGAAAACCAGCAACACACAGTATTACTGCAGCTGTAAGGCCAGTGTAAGTATGCAATAATAAAATTCGCTTTTACCTTAATATCTAATATCCATCCTACCCAATTAGTTAGCTTAATGATTCCACTTGCGTGTTTGTAAATCCAAATCCGAGTTTCATCAAGAGGTGGCAGACCCCGTTCCCACATATATTTTTGTTGAAATGTTTTCGTCTAGTTCGAAGGACAATCGATATTAAAAAGCTTTTACATACATAACTGAATGTGTTTCAGTTCAAAATCCAAATATATTCTACACGTATTAATTAATATTATGGATTGTTTGTTTGAAACTTTGGTAACATTGAATAAGCTACTACTTTCTTTTGGTTAAATGTTGTTATATTATTTTACATAAGCGAGCGACCAAATTGCAGGCCAGCAGATTTGAAAATCCAAAACAATATTATATATTTTTTAGCATCACCTTGCCTCAGCAAATTCCTATTGAAGTACAAACAGAAGAAATTAGAGGGAAGGTGGTGCTGCCTAAGCCTAGACCCGGTATAACAAGAAGATATATCACCTTCAGTTGGAACTGCCCAGCTGTGGCTAATGCAAGTTTTGTACATTTCCTAATCTTTTGGAATATTATTCTCTTGTTGCCTCATTATTATTGTCTACCACCGCTATTCTGAGAATTCGTGCTATATCTATATTCTATTCGAATATTCGTCGTGCTTTTAAAAATCGCTCATTTGGTTATACGAAACATGGCTATAAATCTGGCATTTGCGTTGAATGCGAATTGTCAATGTGGCAGAAAGTTACGATTGACGAAGTATTTACTATACTTCTTCTTCATTTTGTTTGTAATACAAACAAGATAAAATAATTGAGTTTCGCAAGGGTCTATTTGTTTCAAACTATCTATTGCTACGCAGCACTATACTCACTTCCAAATATTTTGTTAGAGTGGGTGCTGATGTCACCTACACGTTTGATTAAACCTTCCATCTTACTCGTATAGTTCTGGAATGCTCGCGTTGTCAGTACAAAAAATCACGGAGGTCAAAGTGGACAGCAAAGTAGCAGAATTGTCTACAGTCTTATACAAGACGTGATGAACATCAACGAAGCTGAAATATTTTATCATGTTAAGTTTGTTCCATTTTGCAATACCAGAAAGTATAAGCTAAAAGCAGAGCTGGTCAGAGAAGAATAATTCTGGATTAAGTACGCCATAAACATGTTTGGTGGAAACTGACTTTGATGACAAAATGTATTACAGAAAGGTTTTGACTTTGTATCATTTTACACGCGTGCTTTATTATCAACGAAATAAATACCCTTTGTTTCGCAGTACACTTCTGCTTTACGACCGTTTACTTATACCGTGATGCAAACTAATTTCTACATAGTCTAAATCAGGGCGATCTAGGGTTGCCTAAATAGAGGTGTGCAAAAACATTTGAAGAGGCTTTGCGGGCCGCAGTCGGGAAAACCAAAAGTGATTGAAGGACCAGGGTTGCGAGATTCTAGGGTCGCAAAAAATTTGAGGAGGCTTTTTTTTACTCGTGTTTGCTTTGGTAATGTCGTTTTCAAATAAAACTCTTTCGTAACAGATATTACTTGAAAGAACATCAGACAATGTTATTATTGAACATTGTGTGGGCAAAGGAGTGCGATTTCTATCGGTTAGCATTAAACCCTTGTTTTACTCAGTCACCTTTCTTATAATACTCATTTTATGATGAATTGTTATATTTGAGAAATTTTATAACTTGCAGAATAAGTAGGCCTAGTGCTATCGTGAAAGAACAACCAAGTCTGTCTAAGTTGGAATTTCGACACTCCTGTCAAATGCACTGTAAAAAATATTAGGGGCGATTTACAACCAAACGCGCGGCAGCAGCGATGCCATGCACTTCGTTGTAAACACCATAATATACAACTTCAGATGTATTGGATCGTTGCAAGCGGTTGTAATTTTACAATCAAATGTATGTACTAGGCATAAGCAGTGGGTTGGTTGGATGTCTCCGATTTTTACAGCCATAGCGATGCTAACCTTAACTACAAGAAGAAGTTGTAAAACTAAACAACATCCGCAAAGTAACTCGATTAACCCTCATGCCACCATTTGAAGAAATGAAATACAATTGAAAAGAAATCACTTTTAATAAAATATGTAATCAAATATCAGCAACAAAATTGTATCAAATACACTCGAGAAGTGATTGTCTCCGCCAGCAAAATAGTTCATTTCATCTCTTCAAATAGGTGGAAACCATCCAATAGATTCAACATTGCAGTGGCCCCTGTCTCTTTTTCTTGCACTTTTTGATTTCACTGGCTGTTTATCTTGGCAATTAGGCTGAAAAAAAATGGCATAGCTGGTATAAAATGCAAACAAGTGGTTGAGTGAGAAGTCAACATATATGTTATAACTTGATCTGCTGGGGTAAAATGATTCCATTAGCAAAGTGGTAGATTCATATTATATTCAATGCTCAGAAGAAGATAATTTTATTATAGATCCTTTCTGAAGCTCGCAATTATATCATTATCTCTCCAAACAATGAAAATTGTTATATAAAGAGACAAAAAACTATGTTTGAATTTATTTGCCTATTCATTGCACAAAAATCAACTTGGTGCAAGGAGGCTAACTATATACAGTAATATGAAATGCTCATATTTATAAGCAAGGCTTTAATTTATTAAACAGTTGAGTCCATACCATTGCCATCAAAAAAAGAAACACCAATAGGCTACCAGTTCCTCACCTTTCCAGAAATTCGTTTGTAGTGTTGATACAATGACAGTCTTGATAAGGGCCAAATGCGAATGCCCCAGAGGTAAAATGGCAGGATATGTTTTTCCACTTTCGAACTGAAAAGAATCAGCAGATTGAAGATGTAGTCTATGAAAATGATATAAGCATGAAAAGTTCATGACTGTCTACTGCAGTAGCTAATTTTGCAGTTTCACTAGAGAAGTCTTTCCAGATGTATTTTATTTTAGATTAGTCCAAATCTCGAATCAGTCATTTCGAATCACAGGGTAACTGAAATTACAATTTTACCAGGCTGCTAACAGTTAGTAGGCTATTGTAAATCCTTTTCTGCTTTTTAAGGATTAGGCTAACATTATCAGAATTGTCTGAAATTTTGCTTTTGGAAAATACGAAAAATTAGAGACCTTTTTGCATTGGTGTACTGTAGACTACCTCGGTTTAGAACTCCAATAAATAGAATACCGGTAACAAAGATTGAACACAGGCAATTAAAAGTAAAATAACAGAATATAGTACGGTAGGCCTACAATAGATCATTGTCTAAATGCAGAGATGTGATATCTAGTACGGCAAGGCTGTTATCAGGCCAATCCAAATATCCAATTAATGCAAAATTGATTAATAATGACATATGTGGCATAAATTAACTCACCTTGCAAAACCTGAAGATCTATCGGTTGTCTGAAGCACCAGTAGTCCAGAGTTTACAACCTAGGTAGGCTAACGGTATTTCCTTCTCCAAACTTTCTGTTTTACAACCTTCAGGCAACATAGTGTAAAATATACAGGTTCACACTTTCAAACTAGGCTAGACCTCAATTGTTTTGAGAGTGGAACCATTGAACCCTTAACAATGGATCAAAATGACCATTGTCTTACCATTGTTATGCTGCAGATAGTAAACGCTTGTGTGATCTTCTGTTCCGACGCATTTCTTGTCGGCGAATGCATGGAAATTTATGGGTGAAGTGACACCATACTTTGTAAAAATCTAATGTTTCGAAGCACGATACGTGGTATATTTGATAGTAATGGAGAGTTTGTAACTTTAGCTCAATGATTTAGATAATGAAGATCTTAATAAAAATCGGTAATCGTAAAAATCGACTGATTTTTAGAGGATGGATTACCCTATAATTTCCGTGTATGTAGGCTTGCGAAATACTTATCTTATGCATGATTAACCTAAATTTGGCATATTATCCCGGCACAAAATGTCATAAAAAGGGTCGGCACAGCCAAGATTTTCAAAGGGGTGGGGAGATCAGAATTCGGAAATTTCCATGTAATCGGTCCTGAAACATTCGCCGAATTACGCCACTCGTAAAAATAGTCGGATTTGTTCAGATTGCCAACATACGGAAGGTCGAAAACTTGAATACCGCGTGTAGTATCATTTGAGATTAATTTAATGCAGTGCTTGAATCAGGGATGTCCAATTCGAATATAATATCAAAATATCGCGACCTTCGAATATCGTTTTCTCGATTTTATAAGCGCACGTATCCTAGCACCGCGGTCCACGTTCCGATTAAAAACATTTTACAACTACTGTACTTCATTTTTATCGTAATCGAAGGCAGCCGTGTACGCACGGCAATAACTTACAGCCACAAGAAAAGATTTAAATTAGCGCTGACTTGAATTGCTTATAACACGTCGAGGATATTTTTGTTCGAAAATATTTTACAAATAATATACGAAATCATTATCGTATATTTAAATTTAGTCGATATAGTTTGTGCGACCTCGACAATAACTCTAAAAGCAAATTGTGTCGCAATTAATCGTTTTCATCCTCAATTTCGATAGTGACCGGACATCACGGGAAAGTTTTGATTTCTTGCAATTTAGAGCGAGTGGAATAGCTCCTAAATATTATTTAGTATCTATTGCGAGTTTCATCGTTTTCCCGACGTCGTTGATGGCAATCAAAATGAAATCATAACTGCTGACATGATATATTCATAACAGCGCTGAATCGAATAATAAAACACGATGACGGATGGAATCGGGTTCACCTATTTGATGGCGCCCCAGAAGTATGTGCACCAAGATGGCCGACACCCGAACGTAGTATGTGTACCAGGTTAGAGTTAGGACACAATTTTATTCCAAATTGTCCTCATTTTTATTCTATTATGAGTTCCGAGACTAGTCAAGTGACTCCCGTAGTATTTGTACCTGAAATCATGGCCCAGCTCTAACTTGGTACACATACTACGTTCCGGTGTCCGCCATCTTTGTTCACATACTTCGGGAGTACCCATTTGATTATGACAATGATCGCGTAATAATATTTGCGTTTTTCTGAATCAACGAATGGTTTAGTGACTAAAATGAAATAATAATAAAAAAAACTCGGACCGCCACCCTCTCACTCTCTACGGCAGGGGTCACCAACCCGTTGCCCGCGGGCACCAAGTCGCCCGCGGAGACCACATGAGTCGCCCGCAGGTCTGTTCCAAAATATGCTTAATAACGGCGCTTATGAGTAAGCTACATCAAATAACTTCTGTCCTGCAATTCTTGTATAAATCACACTTATATGGAAATTGGGAATGGCACTATATTATTGTAACAATCAACCTGATTTGACCTCAGTAATGTGACGGGTCATTTAATATTCTTCCAATTATGACATCATCTTCCACGAACCCGCGTTTTTTCAAGTGCAGTCTAGGTATTCTGTGGCGTCTAAAAATGCGGTATCCCCCCACCATGGTCCGCTATGACCAAGCCAAATCCACGGCGACTGACTTTTTAGCTGCCACATACCAATGGAGAGCTGCCGTTACAGCGGCAGCAAATTGAAAACCAATGGCAGGTAAAGTTTTGCTGCCGTAACAACGGCAGGCCGGCCGTAAAGACAGGGCCGCCCCTGACGATGTCAAATATTGCTTAAGTTTGAACATTTTTCCTATGGATACAGTTATGATGAATTTAGGGTTGGGTTTCACGTTTAAATAAATATTATTTTGCATGATACCCTAAAATATGGTACATGACATCGTGAATATACCGGTAATAGCGTCATAAACCATGGCAAGAGCTGTCCTCGCTTCGTTCGTGGCAGGAGCTGCCATGAAGTGGAAAGAACTGCGATTCCGTTTTTCTTGTCCGTTGGTTTGTGGAGTGGCAATAATACAATTACTGATTCCAAAGAAAAATGTCAGAAAAACGGTAGAAAACCAACCATGTTCTCGATGAATGGGAGGTGGATTTATTTTTAACCTTGTGCAAACAGTCTGTGTGTGTCTTAATTGTCTCATTTGCTGGATGATTGTAGCCACGGCAAAGTGCAGTGATATCACGCAATCTACCACGTCAGCAGGTCAGCGCAGTACGTGCAGAAAAAGCTTGCGATTCAAATCAAACAGCAATCCTATTTTAGGAGACTATTGTTTGGTTCAACCTATCTTTATGAATCAACATTTTTTGACTTGTACTTCACCAGGGACAAACACGGAACACGCCTTCCTGATGATCTGCAGGTTTCGCTCAGAGTTACAGTGTCAAGTTACGCGCCGCAGTACAACACTCTGTAACATTTGTTAGTACAACTGTTAAGTCCATTTTATCTTAGACTTGTGCAGAGTGTTTGTAAATAACTCAGGTACATTGTTGTTTTCTATGATATTATAGTAGTGATCACTTTGAAATCAATTTGAAATGCAATTGCCATTGATAGAAATTTAATTGCTACGTTGTGATAATCGTTTGATTTCCTGAAGAATCCTAAAGTTTATCAGTGTTTCTACTTGACTAAATACCAGTAATTATCAATAATTAAAGCTTTATCGAGCAAACTGACCTTTTTAGAAGTGTAGCCCTTGAACTGGTAGCCCTCGGCTTAATCTGTACCCAGAAAGTAGCCCTCGGCTTCGAAAAGGTTGGTGACCCCTGCTCTACGGTCTACCGTTCGTAGTTTTTATTTGTTATTTCTCTATTCTTTCTATGTGTACATTTTCTATTTATTATGTTCTATTCTTGCAATTTAGAGCGAGTGGAATAGCTCCTAAATATTATTTAGTATCTATTGCGAGTTTCATCGTTTTCCCGACGTCGTTGATGGCAATCAAAATGAAATCATAACTGCTGACATGATATATTCATAACAGCGCTGAATCGAATAATAAAACACGATTACCGGTCTTACTTCTCCATCATTGACGGATGGAATCGGGTTCACCTATTTGATGGCGCCCCAGAAGTATGTGCACCAAGATGGCCGACACCCGAACGTAGTATGTGTACCAGGTTAGAGTTAGGACACAATTTTATTCCAAATTGTCCTCATTTTTATTCTATTATGAGTTCCGAGACTAGTCAAGTGACTCCCGTAGTATTTGTACCTGAAATCATGGCCCAGCTCTAACTTGGTACACATACTACGTTCCGGTGTCCGCCATCTTTGTTCACATACTTCGGGAGTACCCATTTGATTATGACAATGATCGCGTAATAATATTTGCGTTTTTCTGAATCAACGAATGGTTTAGTGACTAAAATGAAATAATAATAAAAAAAACTCGGACCGCCACCCTCTCACTCTCTACGGCAGGGGTCACCAACCCGTTGCCCGCGGGCACCAAGTCGCCCGCGGAGACCACATGAGTCGCCCGCAGGTCTGTTCCAAAATATGCTTAATAACGGCGCTTATGAGTAAGCTACATCAAATAACTTCTGTCCTGCAATTCTTGTATAAATCATACTTATATGGAAATTGGGAATGGCACTTTATTATTGTAACAATCATCCTGATTTGACCTCAGTAATGTGACGGGTCATTTAATATTCTTCCAATTATGACATCATCTTCCACGAACCCGCGTTTTTTCAAGTGCAGTCTAGGTATTCTGTGGCGTCTAAAAATGCGGTATCCCCCCACCATGGTCCGCTATGACCAAGCCAAATCCACGGCGACTGACTTTTTAGCTGCCACATACCAATGGAGAGCTGCCGTTACAGCGGCAGCAAATTGAAAACCAATGGCAGGTAAAGTTTTTCTGCCGTAACAACGGCAGGCCGGCCGTAAAGACAGGGCCGCCCCTGACGATGTCAAATATTGCTTAAGTTTGAACATTTTTCCTATGGATACAGTTATGATGAATTTGGGGTTGGGTTTCACGTTTAAATAAATATTATTTTGCATGATACCCTAAAATATGGTACATGACATCGTGAATATACCGGTAATAGCGTCATAAACCATGGCAAGAGCTGTCCTCGCTTCGTTCGTGGCAGGAGCTGCCATGAAGTGGAAAGAACTGCGATTCCGTTTTTTCTTGTCCGTTGGTTTGTGGAGTGGCAATAATACAATTACTGATTCCAAAGAAAAATGTCAGAAAAACGGTAGAAAACCAACCATGTTCTCGATGAATGGGAGGTGGATTTATTTTTAACCTTGTGCAAACAGTCTGTGTGTGTCTTAATTGTCTCATTTGCTGGATGATTGTAGCCACGGCAAAGTGCAGTGATATCACGCAATCTACCACGTCAGCAGGTCAGCGCAGTACGTGCAGAAAAAGCTTGCGATTCAAATCAAACAGCAATCCTATTTTAGGAGACTATTGTTTGGTTCAACCTATCTTTATGAATCAACATTTTTTGACTTGTACTTCACCAGGGACAAACACGGAACACGCCTTTCTGATGATCTGCAGGTTTCGCTCAGAGTTACAGTGTCAAGTTACGCGCCGCAGTACAACACTCTGTAACATTTGTTAGTACAACTGTTAAGTCCATTTTATCTTAGACTTGTGCAGAGTGTTTGTAAATAATTCAGGTACATTGTTGTTTTCTATGATATTATAGTAGTGATCAC